AATGCGGCATTTTGGATAGATCCTCGTGCCTCTGTATTTGCTGTTGTGATGCACAATGAATGAATAAATCTGATGATAGTTCGTGGAAAGCAAATCCACAGTGCATATCCTTAATGCTTGCTGCAAACTGCTATCACAGGAGCACTTCTGAGAGCTAAAACGGTGTCTGCTGACTAGAAAGCTTCAGAGTGCATCACGTAGCTCTATGCAACCAAACAGCTACCCTCACAAAGAATCAGGTAGAACACGTACACCGTGGGCTTCTGGAATAATTTACGCTGTAAAATACTGAGCAGCAACGTGACTGCGAAGGCATAGTTATCCGGCCTTGCCCTTCCATAGTCTGTATGTTAAACCGTAGCAGCGCAAGCTCCAGGTGGCGTGTAGGTTTCGTTGCGGCTTGCTGCTAGACTGCGTATTAAAGCTGATGGGATGCAGCCTGTACTGCGCACATGCGGTAAGTCATCGACATATATGCAAAAGGGCAGTGACAGTAAGGCCTCGAGCATTCATGTTGTCCGCAGTCGGTGACACTAATTGCACAAGCTGTTCGCAGCAATACAGCAGAGAGCTAGCAGCAGATCAGTCAGTAGGGCGTACAGTTGCGCGCTCCTCCGAAAAGATTGTATTTTCGCGTTGGGGGTCTGCGGAAAGCGATTACTTCCAGCGGCATGTGGAAAAGAAGTATTCGATGCATGATTTGCGCAGTCGCTCGGTAGCATCTCACATACGCGCCTGCTAGTCCTACTGTACCAGTCTCTTTTTGTTTTCATATGCCGGTGTGCCCACGTGTGGGCAGACGTGCCCTAAATATGAAACAGCGAAATCGACTTTTTGCCGCACAATGAGTGTTCAGCTGGACGGCCACGGATTGGCGCTTGCCGTGTCTCCGCTGTATTTTACGGGGACAGACACATACTGATAGGCACTGAAGGCGTTGCAACATGTTTGAACCTTCTTGCTTTTAAGGTTTCATGGGGATTCTCTGTCCATTTTGGATTCGTAAGTACCTACGCAATAAGAACGCAGTTCATGCCCACTGAGGCCGCGCCGTGCTCACTACAACCACTGGGAGTACGACGTAAGGCCAAAATCGTGCGCCGCCAGGCAAAATGATACGACGCCACCAGCGAGTGGTGTCGCACGCAGTGAATTCTAAAGTTGCCGGACGCAAACAACATAACGTTAGCCTCCACGGGTAGTGTATGGCTCATATTATATAACTGTATGCGAGTAATGGCGATGCGAGTTCTACATCGCTAAAGCCCGCGATCTGGGTGCAATGCTTCAAGAGTTGATCATCTGATTATTTACGACGGGAGGTTCGGCTGTTTCGTCGTTGTTGATTCTCAGTAACCGCTTGTCATACTTGGCTCCTTTCCTGAATGAACCAGGATTGCAAATTTTCTTTCGTTGCATTCATAATCGAAATCACCCAAATAAACAGTACATACACCTGGTTTTCCTGAAGGCATGCGGCTGTCTACCCTCGCAGTCCCGTGCAGGCAACAATATTTCGCGCATAAGCGTCATTCGGGGCCAATGCAAGTACAATGTACTAGTGAGGCTTTTAATGGGTAGCGCGTCACCAAGCTGGTAGACGAGGCTTATTAAAGTTCTTTTGTGCATACTGTGGCAACACGGCGCGCGACTGGCATGAGTGGAACCCACTGACGTCTGAAACAACGTGCGTGCATACTGCGCAGTCCGAAGTATCGATGCGAGCATTGCGAAAAATCAAACAACGCGAAACTCTACCAGTATTTGTACCATGGAACTTGGACTGGTATCGTTGCCGATCTTTGCAATATCGGTAACGATCTTAGCAAGAACACCAAGGCGACCGCCTGTTTTGTGACACTGCGCAGTCGGAAGTATCGATGCGAGCATTGCGAAAACTCAAACAACGCGAAACTCTACCAGTATTTGTACCATGGAACTTGGACTGGTATCGTTGCCGATCTTTGCAATATCGGTAACGATCTTAGCAAGAACACCACGGCGATCGCCTGTTTTGTGACATCACAAAATACAAACTAGGAAGATAAAAGCCATACAATTGTTGCTCTAGAGAGTAGAGGATGAATACAGGAGTGTACCGCGTGGTAGTGCTTGGCTACTCCGAGAGACTGCATGCAGTGCCAGAACGAGAGTTCTAGCGCGCAATCTGTCCCACGTGATAATGACGCTGGGCCATGATAATTTTAAGCTGGCGAATGCAACGTGTGCGCAATACAATCCCCTGCGTTGAGGTGCTTGTGGTCCGGTGGAATCGCGTGACGGTACGTTAGTGCGTGCGTAATAGTTTCTGTCTGCTGAAATTCATTTTGCCATTCAACTTTTCCTTCAATTGGACTCATGCTGCGTGTCCACGGCCAGATGCAGATTACCGACGACATGGGAGCGCCTTGCATACAACAGTTCACGCAGAGTAAAGCTGAGGGCTACAGGTCGTGTAATTATTGCCTCGATCCAGCAATTAGTAGCCATAGTATACCACCTTCCCATCGCCTTGTTCACCACAGCCCTTAAGACTTTCTATTCACGACGTTGCTGCACAAGCATTTAAGGGCCTTCACATCCGGATAGAACTTTCTGATCCGCCCTCCCACTGCATTGCTCTGGCGCCGCCCATAATCGAACTCCAATTCTAAGAAGCATTAAAAAGCCAGAGGCATTAAAAAGCCAGAGGCATAGATGATTCTCGCAGCACCATGAGAACAGCAAGCATGAGTGTTGCTTATCATACTGAAAAGTGCGAAAAAATACAGTAACTCACAGACGGCTAGCTGGGAACAACATCGCCCTCGATTACTTTCATCTATCCTGCAATACAGGAGCCGCTGCGGCATGTTGGTTGGAATTTCCGCCATAATAATATCATCGTGGCGCAAGTTCCAAGGTCCCAGGTTTAACGCATGCGGGGTCAAGCGGACAGCTCTCAACATGCTTTGTTTTGCATTGGTGGCATGCCTCGTGGCTCGTTACTCACATTTCATTCTTGCAAACGCTACACTTTGTGATGCTCCTAGCCGGGCGGCTTTCATGATGCTGCGCCTGTTTGGTGTACGCCTGGAGCCTTCTTTTCAAATTAGGTCATTGTTGTTCACATTCTTCTGCTTTTCCTTAAGCAGAAGAGGACACTTAGAAGCAATAGGGAGCAAGCAGGAAAGTCCAATGAATCCGAATGTCGCCAAGTGTTCAGGTGGCACTTGCTGCAGATAGATTGCTGCTTCGTGCATTGGAAAGCGGGTCCCAGAATGGATTTCCTTCCTGTGAAGCCATCATATAATTCCGAGCGTCCGGCATAAAGACTTTTGGTCTCACGCCCACTCCTTATGTCATCCGGTGTACCTAGTGTTGCATCACTGCCTGCTTGCTTGTTACTCTACGATGTTGCCACTCGGCACATGCTTGCTTCGTGCGCTAGGCCGCGAAAGCATTGTACTCAAGAGATAATTTGTTGCACTCAGCATCGGAAGCACGTTATCCGGAAAGCAACCACCGTCTAGCTCACGTTTTGTGGCATGCGTAGAATATCGGCCACTGGATGACTGGGTTTCCAACCATGTCATAACTTACGCCCCTGAATACTCAACAATCCACTGGGATGCCTTCTGCTCAGGAATTGCCGACAAACGGCCTCTGCTCAATGGATTTGCGTTAGCTAGCTGCAATTATGTTCCATTTTCTCGGTCGTCCGAAGAAATTTCAGTAAGTACAGCATTAGCGACGTTGGTGGCGATCCGAACTACTGCTGTCCCCAATCCACAGTACCGTGCTCTACTCTATGCCATTATCCCGTGCAGGATGCCTCGTAAATCATTATATCCAGCCAGGCGCCCTCTTCCCGTACAGTCTTTTTTACGCAGTACTCTAGCTCGTTTACTCTGTTTCCTATAACAGGACTGGCTACTTCATAATCATCCTAGACTGCCAAAATATAGGGGACTATGCTTTTCATTATGCATTCGCGCTTCCTGCTCTATGCATGCAGAGCAGTATGGATAAAATTGACGGTCTTTTGCTCGTCCACGGCGCTCTAGTGTTCCGTCTTCTGTGGCTCACTGTAGCCTGGCTCACTCTAGCGTGTTGGCTTGCCTTCCATGCCAGTTAACCCAAATGTCTGAACCTTAGACGATTCCAACCAGCCCTGTATGGATATGCCTTGCTGTGAATATCGAGCGCTCGATTGATAGAATGCAGAGGGTAGCCCATAGTTTGTTGCATGACTACATCATGCTGACTGCGCCTACTGGTTCCCTGACACAAGGAAACCTACGTAGCTATCTGGCGTCTTCGCAGATGGTTTGTCATACCAGGCATCAAAACATGCAGGCTAGGTTGCCTTAAGGAGTAAAGGAACTGAAGTAAATGTAGTGGAGTCCCACGTCTCCCTAAAGCCTTCGGCTGCTCGGGGTGCCGATTACAGGCACGTCTGTTTTACTCCATAAAGCTGTTTGTTCGCAATACAAAGATGTTCTGATGCTCAGCGTGACTTAGAAATGAGCCACACAATGTAGATGCTTCACTTGATTTTCCTGTTCCCTACTCCCTATGGCGATGCGACAATATAGAGTACACAGAGATCATGTGCACGACTATCTATTAATACTGTGGCCTCCCTGAAGTCCTTCTGCATGTACTATGCCTCTTCTGGAAGCTTGATGCACTGTCCATGCAAGGATGGGCATCTGGCTTATCAATCCGTTGTCTATTTGTGGTGGTGCGCATTTCCTGCTTGCTCCCAAATTCGGCTATGCAGCGCGGCGCGCCGCCGCTCGTCTATTAGTTTGTGGAAAACTGGCAAGCAACCGCAGCATCTGATGGAAGCACGAACATCATGCTGGAATAATCTGATTGTACTACTGTTGCAGTTCAAAAGCGCTAGCTGAATCACGCATCTCAGCTGTGCAAAGAAACAGTTTTGTGCGTCCACGTTCGTTGCATGTGGTTTTGGTCGTACTATTCACTCTGCTTCCTCATAAGCCAGCGGAGCTTCATGCTTGGGCATCTATCTTCTCAATCAAAATTGCTGAGAAAAGTACGTACATTAAATTCATTGACGAACGCAAACATGTCTTGCAAACATATGTAGACAAAGGTGGGTAAAGGCCAACAAATACACGGATACACAGGATGCACCGACATAAACAGAATATAAGGATGCCCTATACGAATAGGTTACCTAACTGCCGTTGCAGTCTTTCGAAATGCCAAGGCTCACCTGAATAGCCTGGTGAGTAGTAATTGACGACTTCAGGTGGGTATAGGTTGCAGACACTTTGAATAGAATCCAGCACTTCAGAAGCAGCTTCACTCTCGCGGATTTTCTAATAAGTTACACACATAATGTCATACATAAGCCGAAATTCAGGAGGCGTGTGATCGTCACATGGTGCTCGTTTACTCAGTTCAACTCTTGCAGGAAAAATGAAGACCTTCTTCAGAGTGATACCCTTTGAATTTTTCGACTTTCACAGTGAACTCCTGGGAATTATTGCCTTACCAATAGCGTCTCCAGTGCGCCTGTTTGCACGAAAGCCCTACGCGCCTTTGGATCATTAGGCAATACCTTCGCAAACTGTTGAACAATGCATCTGCAGAGGTAGCACACTAGCAAGGAGAACCACTGCTGTTGATGCTATTGGCAACGCAAGTAGGCAAGCCCGGAGCGGCCAACCATCCACACATACACAGCAAAAGGACGCGCAGCAGTAATCCAGTTGTTACTATTATAGAATCTCAAGATTCGCGCTAAAAGCTGACCGTAGGTATTCTGCGCATGCCAAGGAATAGACAGCTAGCCGTTGATTCAGTTATGCAGTAGGCAAATGGTGTATGTAGGATAGCGGCAAGGCAGCGCCAAAGCAAGGCAGCGCCAAAGGTTACAGAACGAGAAATGATAGGCACGGCTGGCATACTTGAGAATAGAGGGAGGCGCCTCGTTAAGCAAAGGCTCTAGTGCAGCCAGATGAGTGCACATTTGAATAATGTTCTGCATGGACAAGGAAGGAAGTAAGTAAGGGAACAATTCATCATGGCGTATTGGCTCTGCAGCAGCAACCGAGCTATCCTTCGGGGAGAATTCTCTCAGTTGACTATCAAAAGGCAGGGCCAATACACGGTTGCTTTTCACTTTAAGAGCTCTCTTTGCCTTTGCTTTCAACTCGTCCGAAGATTCTGGAGAAAGAAAGTCTGACATCAATCTGCAGAAAGCAGGATGAGCACAGAAGTATTGGATAAAAGACGAACAAACCAGGCTACAAAGGCAGCAACGCGGCGAGGTTGCTGGCCGTGTATGTGTGCTTCTCCTTAGGGCGTCGATAGGAAGTTTCTCATTTTCGACAAGGTGTTCCAAACCGTATTCTTACAGCCTCAGTATATCTGCTTCTGCAATAGCCATAGCGTGGTCTGGTGAGTGACGACCCAGCTGACCCACCGCCCTGAGAAAGCATGAGCAAAAGGAATGATGGTTTCTCCCTTTTGGCTTCTGATTGATGAGAAATGCCGTTATCACCTGCACTTCTTCCCTTGCTCGGTAGCTACTGTCTGCATGCTTTTTGTCCAAAACGTTACTGACTAATTCGGCAGCTAACGAGGAGAGCCGAACGAATCTTTTACCTCATCCACTGCGCATACTGGAGGTTTTGCTCTCGCATTAATGACTCTCATTGCTTCTAAACTTGTAGTGTCATTGCTACGCACCAGGCTGCAGCTGCTTTCGCGTGGTCTTCAGTTTCCGTCTGCAGAGCGTTCTTAAGAGGAGGAATGCCTGTGAGATCGGCAATAGCGCATTATTGAAGAGTACACGCGTAAGGGCCGTGAGCTCTGCTGATAGATTGTGCAGCTGCTAGTCAACGTGAGAAGCAAACAGAGCAGGCGGCACGTTTATTAGCGGTAGGTAGATAATTCATTAAGGTAGTAGGCTTTGGTACTGGAAAGGTGATAGAAGTGCGAAAATATACCTTTCTGCACAATGATCGCCAGGGCCAATGTTTCTGTGAATGCCCCTATATAGCCGATTGCAAGAATTCCAGCCACCCTGAGCCGCAGAAGCAAACACCAGGGGGGCTTAATGCAGCAGCGTTTGAGGAACTCACGAACCAACTCCATGAAAAGTTTCTTCTTTAGCATTAGCGCATTAGTGATCAAGTAATAAAGGACACCGAGCGGATATGGATGGATCACACACCGAGTCGGCCCCGTTGTTTCCTGAATCAAATCCACCAATGCTGCAATAGCCCCTAAAATGAGCATACACAGGAGATTCCTGAATGAAATTACAGATGTTCACGCCTAAACTGCACGGTGATTGATACATGATGCTCGAAGTGCCGTTTTTCCTATTCCTGAAGCTACTCCTCATGGTTTCGGCATCTACCGTGTTCTTTCTTTGCAGTTAAAATTTGTTATTATGACCTGCATTTGCAGCAAAGACCGCCAGTTGAGGTGTGTGCTTTACTATCTCCCTCACACATGTGGCCGCGTTCCTCCTACAATTTAAGAACAAGGAAAAGACACAAAAGAATTACATCAATTATCCAGAATATACTGAAGAGAGATAGCATACTGACGAGCTGCACTGCAGGGTTTGTTACAAACAGATTGACGCCGTTGATTATGTCAAAATTGCCAGAGGCGTTAAATTTTTATGGTATTAAGGGCGACATACCGGACAAGGTCATCGGGATCCTTCAAGCAATGAAGTGTCTTTGGCATCGCCTCCGCTTCGACAACAGCCTATAGTAGCACATATAAAGGTGAAAACGGTTGAAAACTCACATGAAAGTAATTTCAAGGAGAAGACTACAGCAGCTACTGCTCTGTTCGGTGGTGTTGGTTACGAGTTCCCGACCGAACCTCAGCAAAATCCACGGAGTGGGTGGCGATGCGCGAGAGACACCAGCAAATCTGCAAAAATATTCTCCAGAAATGCATATTGAAAATTGGACATTTCAAGTCACAGACTTTCGATGATAAGCAGTTTATAAACTCTTCGAATCCCAAAACCAACGCGGTAGGTATAACGAAAAAGCGAAAGGAGATTGCACGTGAACTCATATACCATTCATGCTAAGAAGCTTCTCAGGACATAAAAGCGAATCGATGGCATAAGCTCGTGGCAGCACGGAGAATCAACGTTAGTAGTCCAATTCTGCAGTTGAACAGTTGAGGTCAGCACAATTGATGCAGAACGAAGCCTTTTTCAAGGGCTTACCTGTCGACGGACAACAGCATCAGTACTACCCAGTTGCTTCGACAGCAAAGGCACTGCACCAGCGTCGCAGACAACCTAATGCAGGCACAACACAACGGCAATATAATTCCTAGACTTATCTCCCCTACTGCCGACTCTTTCCCGTGCATTCATTCATTTGACGGTTTAGAGCTGCTCGTTTTGCACCTACCTGTGCGAGTTCCTGTGAGTGTTTTGCTATGTCACCGAGAGCTGCAGCTGCGCTCCTTTTGATGTTTGTTTCAGGCTCCTGGATGCATAAGACAAGTAGCGGAACGGCACCCGCAGCAACTACCGAGGAAGCCAGTGACTCCGAGTGGCGAGCAATGCATCCTGGTGAACGAAGAGTCACACGAACACAAACAACGAAGAGCAGAACAGAATCTGAACCATTAAAAACACGGCATGTGTGCGCGGCAAGGTTCCAGAATTCGTACAGCGCAAAGCGCAGACGGTAGGGGCTCGACAGTGTTTCAGGGTATCATGCCTATTGCAGACGCAGCAGCGTCTTTCACTTGCGGGTCGAAGGCTTCCAGACACTGCGACAATGCTGCCAAAGCACCACTTTCCACAACTGCCTGCATGCATCGGACAGTACGAATCTTGGGGAAAAACATCCGCACATGATCAGCAAAGACGTTCAAGACCTAATAAGCCAGCATTAACGTTCAACAGCTTGTACGCGCACATGCGGGTGCCTATGAGTGCTAGTTAGCGAACTAGTAAAGCCACAGAAAAAGCATTCTTCGTCGGAATGCAGTCAAGATGCTCACTTCCATTTATACAATACTGGCTTTTGTCCGCTAAAACTTTAACAATGCAACAATACAGGACCGGGCGGGAATTACCTGTGCCAGTTCAGCCGAGTGCTTGGCAATTGACCGCATGACAAAAGCAGCAGACCTCCTGTAGAACCTCTGCAAAAGAAAAATATATGCTGCAAGAACCTCGGCATTTTCTGGGCTCCTGCTGCGCCATCGTTACGTGCTGCTGAATCAGTGTAAAATACAGCGTGAATATTCTAGAGTGTTTCCGACTAAGTCAAAACCTTTTGTTGCACGGGCTACGCTTGGGTTTCGAGCGCCACAGAATTTTTCAAGTTCGTTTTCTTGGAATGCTCAGGAAGCGAACGGGATCGAACTGGTTCAGCAATTGACGTGCACGGAATCACACTTCAAATGCACGAAAGGCCTACGTTCTGCTCCGCGACCGAGGCAACAAGATGCGGTAGTATTTCCTCATTCACGCATTCCCTCGCTGCCTCTTCGCTATGTCCGGCCAGCCGTCCAACTGCAACCGCTGCTGTCTGCTGAATTCCTGGGACAGAGTCTAGCAACAGTGGTCGTAGAAGCCTCAATGCACCTAAACGATCCCAGGAATAAGTACAGAGATGAGCTCTCGTGAGGTAATGAAAAATGCTAGGCGGTAAACGCCTCCCCTCCTGCTTCTTCAACGATTCTAATGCTAACAATTCTCGAGGAGATTTCCATGTTTCCTAGAACAACTTGGGGGCGGCGCTCGGAGTCGTGCGCCTTTAAAACTCATCAGGACATATAGAACTCATGTGCAGTTCAACATATTGAAGCAGTAAGCTTCCCAGACTTGATGGGATATATAGAGCTCATGTGCATTCCACTGCCTTAACGCTGCTGCTGTCAGTCTACTTTACCAGCGGCGCGCAAGCCATCAATGTTCTGTGGCCTTTGAGTTAGGTCAGCTAACGTCTGCACGAAGTGGGACCTCGCCCTCTGGAACTCCTCAAAGACCTGGTTAAGAGTGCGGCTCATTCTACGGGTATCGCAAAGCGAGAAGCTCACACAACGCGAATCGGACCTCTTTTGCGGCGTTGCATTTGAAGTATGGAGTTGATGCAACCGAAAGAAGCATTGTGGAGGAGCATGATGTCATGAGGAGAGAGCTAATATGTTCATCATCAAAGGTTCTGCGCAGAATCAGCTAAAGTCAGCAAGAAGAAATGGACGGCCATCTCCAGCACAGCAACAGCTGGCGTACGTGCTGCTTTCTCCTCGTAACAAGACTGCTTTGGCGTCAGCAGAACTCGAGTTGAGCTCGTATATCGCCAGTATACGCGTTTCCACTATTTGAATGCCTGCGGCTCTCCTAAAGGCGGCTCGAAAAAGCAGCTGCCAACAGTAACAGGTGGAGTGCTCAGCCCCCTAATCCCGGAGGTGTAAACCGTAGTCGAATCTATGTCATGTGGCCAGCCGTCATGCGGATAAAATCGGCTCTTGACATATAAAATGAGATTTAATAGATAGATCTGGTGTTGAGGCGTGTGTAACTGACTGTGTTGCAACTGCGGTGACCCCAGGAGTCCTGGGAGCTGTGAAGGGTATTGTGCTCTTTCCCCTGATTCCAGTTAATTTAAGGCAATCTTCGCGAGAAAAGGGATAAAAATTGCAAAAATGTGTCACTTGTATCACTTGTAATGATGTATTTCAGGTAGACTGTGAGCAAGTGGAAGAATTTGTGCAGCTGGACCCAAGCTTCAAATGCATGGGCTGGCTACTGTCGCTTCCATAGCAGCCATCTCCATGACGAAAGCGCTGCTGAAATTGTCCTGGCCTAGGATTATATTTTGCTTGCCTGAGGGAAATCATGCTATATATTTAAACGAACATGGGAAACGCTGTGATCTGCCAGCGTCGCGCAAGTGTAAGAGCCCTAGTCTCCTTCAAGGACAGCGCGTTTCTATCTTCATGTTGTGCTCTTAGTTCAAAAAAATATCCGAAAATGACGTAACATAGCCTTTGTTTTTTCTCAGCCATTTTCAACTGACATCAAATCTACACTGAGTAGGCTGGCTGAACGCTAAGTTTGTCCTGGGGCTCATCTTGATGTTTCACTGGAACCTCTGACTTTCCCGCTAGCTCACATTACCCTTTCCTCGTTGAAGGCTCCCTCCTGTTCAAGCTTCAGAATTATGGCACTATTAATTCTATATCTAGGTCCACAGCACTTAAGGACTTCCAGGCGTAAAGTTAGCCAGGAAAGCAAGTGAAAATGCGCGCATGGTGCGTCGCATGATGGATGTTTCTCAAAACTACTATTCTCATTGACCAAATTTTCGAAGATTTCAGGATGACCGGAAGTGCCTATTCGCAGCTTTTCTGATGATTAATTCAGCCTAAAATCCAGTTAGCACGATCAGTGGCACGAAGTATCCGGATCGCCAGTAGAAAATATTCCCTGGTGCCAACGTAGCAATTGCTGAACTGCGCAAGTGCCGCCTGATGGCTCGTCAGCCCAACATGAACGTCATTTCCTAGGGTTCGTCTCAGATTTCCGTGCAATTGGCTCAAATACTGCTATCATTAGTGGAGGCTACCACTTTCTCCTTGTATTGGAATTTTTGGCTTCTACGCTTTTCAACAGGTGACATTTCGACGGTTGGAAACTGAGAAGAAGGGAACGCTCGCGAGAAGTCTACACTGGGAAGAAACATAGTTAGGCATTCATTCAGATGAACAGCTCGACAATTGTTTAGTTCACAGGTAACCTGCGGCCTATGAAACAAAGACATGTCTCAAGCCAAACTTTGAAACAGACAGCGTAAGGAGTTGTCATCGCCTCAGGGGTAGGATCAAGTATCTTGCCCCTCAGGTGCGGCTTGTTGAGCGACGTCGCTCAAATCATAAGGCTTATCGGTGCAATTTTGAATGGCAATTAAAGAGTAACCAGAGGCGATCTGGCAGGTGATTATTTCAAAGCCTTCTTTTGTGCGAAGGCGCACTGTTGTGAGTTCCCCCTTCACACACAACGGACGAGGATGCGCATGATACGAAGTACGTGGCAACTCTTTTTCGTCCTCACTTTAGGGGCTAAGGCTTTACAATTTTGCAATGAAGCTGACTGTTTAAAAGAGTTTTCCGGCGCCAGGGAGGTAGGCAGAATATTGTATGTGAATTTAAGGGAAATGTACTAATCTTCCTCGATTTCATGCATTTGCGAGTTGCCTTACGTCACTGGGGAATAGCTCTCGCATGTACTGCTTCGCCTTGGCACAAAATACACTGCACACACAGAATGGGTCACAATGGTGACACTGTATAAATACAAAGGAAACTCAGCACAAAAAGCCGTTGGAAGCTGGTTATATTCAAGGCAATCTGTGAATTTCCTTGTTTCGTAGGTGTTTGGATCTGCATTTGTGGCTCACGTCAACTGAGCAGCATAATGAAGCGAGCGCTCCCGAGATAGTTTATCATGGTGCCTAATGGGGATGCCTACATGCAAACAATGGAACCATCCCAACTCAAATTGTAGCCAGGAGATATATAGCCTGTGTTGGTAGCCAAGAAACATTGCAGGGGAAGACGAGGCAAAGCCAATCCTAACAGAGGGTGTGCCTTGTCTACGTAATTCCCTGCTCAGATGTGGATTTTCGAACAGTTTCAACCTTTACTTCTCTGCCTACGAGAATGCGTGTGCATACATTATGTGTGCGCTGGAGGGAACGGGAACGAATAATCCCCTGTGGGTTCGCAGTGTGGGTTTCTTCAGTGTGACTTCGTTTTTACACAGAGACGGCTTATGCATGGATTCTAAAAGTTGGCAGCTGCCCTTTTACTTATGTCATGCTTGGAATGTCATTTAATTGGGTAGCTGAGCTTTCGATTTCTAATGTTTTTTCAGTTGAATAAAACTGGGTGCTTTTCACTCACCATCCGAGTTCACCACAACGTAGCCAACCACGGAAGGGTTATTCGCCAACCACGACCGCAGCACTTCATCTACTTCATTCTGAGATCCTGACATTGCGAATTGAGTACTTGGAGGAGGTTAGGGCTTTTGCCGTTCGCTGAATAGCTTCCACCTCCCCTAGAGTGCACTCACTTCACCTGGAACGACACTGTCCGCCAAGATGTATGAAGTGGAGCGTGTACTACAAAAAGTAGTTCAGGGATCAATTTAAATGAAAAATCAGCTGCTGAGACATCACTTTAGGCATTTTGCCTCCACAAAACAGGCGCCATCCTTAATGCCCTGCACCTACTTAAACTGTGTCGACTGCTCGCGGCTACTCTTCGAAAGAAATTACAAAAAATGCACAACTACAGCCTATACTCAATGGAAATTTGCACGAGAATGCACAGATCTACGTTTTTGGCGCAATCATGCGCTGCAGCGTATAGGGCGAGGTGTCTCTGCAGAGGGCTTCCGGTGATAATTGCGTCCCTTGGACCCTGCACCCAGAAATATTCGGCGAGAAAGCCTAGCTAGCCCAGAAGTATGCAGAAATTTCCTTGTTCCTATCAAGTCGTGGGTGCAGATCTTTGCACTACATCAAGCAGCTTACGGAAGGACAACATGGAATGACGCTCCTGGGGGCTTCCATGAAGTAAATTAGACATAGCCGACACTGAATAAAGTAAGAAAGCTTTCAGTTTATAAGTTATGATTGGCTCACAATATCTTTGTTCTGGAAGAGGTTCTAAGTTGCCTATGTGTGGCTAACCTACGTTCTCCGACAGTACCCGCCCAAGATCTGCTGCTGCCCGTAGGAGACGCCTTGTGCATCACCGTTAAATCCTGCAGCAACGCTGGACTCTAAGGTATTTGGTGCTGCTAAATGGGGCTATAATCTTACGCAACTGTAATGCTGGGTGGCAAACCATCCAAAGTTGTGATTTAGGGCTATTTCCAAAAGGTTCATCGATCCATCTCCCCTGCAGTTAAGGAAACTGGACTCATACCCGGAGATTGTCACGTTTTTAAGCTGCGGCGAAGCTGCAAAGCTTCGTCGCAGCTTAAAATCGTGACATTCTTTGTAAATTATTCAGTTTGGCTCGACGCGGACAGCTAACGCGCCTGTGGGAGTGGAGCTCGTGCTCCATGTTGACATCCTACTAGCCACACGACAATACAAAAACAGTCCCAATAATACTGATGCCAGGTGCATTGTAGAGACAAATGTTGGTGCCATACACCGCCTGGAAGGAGTTTCGATGGACAACTACTCTTGTAGAAGGAAGCACTGCCCTTTCCCTTGTTTGGAAAATGCCCCTTGCTATTGTGGTACTTTAACGATTCGGACCAAGTACGTCAGCAGCAGACAAGGCCATGTCACGTAAGACAGCCACTAATGTTGATTGGACCCCCTGCGGCAATACTTCAGCTGGCCAACCGGCCTAGGAATTTTGGCCCAGCTCGCCCTGAACTTGACGACTAGGGACTGTAGATCGTGCCGTTCTAGTGGATACCATCGCATGCACTTTACAACTAGGGTTGAAGGCATCTAACCCTGCCTAAGCAGTAACTACTTCCGACTGCAGCTCTGCGCACTGAAGATGTTTTAAGCATGTAAACCGAAAAGAAGCTCCAAAAGATAGGTAGTGGCAGTAGGATGAAGCTGGAGACTCGGCATTGTTGCCAGAAGTTCAGTGAGACCTCTGAACTGCTCTCGCTTAGATGAAAACTAACAGAAGCCAATAAATTGCACATCTAGCTCTTTAAACGGAAAAATCCTAGTTGCGCGCAACTACATTCAAAATAGTTCATTGGTACGAGCTGGATACTGCAAGTGAAGGCCTTATTTGTCCTTTAAGCAAAACGTTTGAAGTATGATGTTTCGACATGTGCGTAGAATGAGAAAGTAGCACACAGTGACTTCGCAAGCTACTTGGCAGCAGAAAAAAATGGAAAAGCTACAGTTTGACTACCGGTATTTAAGCGTCAAACTATTTCCCAGGTTCCCGAGAATGCGCGATAGCGTGCCCTGACATCAGGCAAAAAGCGGTGTTTGCAGGGATTAGAGGAACAGCGAATCTTTGCATCTTGAATAGTTTGCGATTGCTCGATGAAAAAGGGGTTCACGGATCAGTGGGAAAACAGCCTGATGCTCTTCGGGATATGGTACAAGAAGAGAGGGCATTGCTGATCCCAACTGTACTATTCACGCAATAAGAAAATGCCTCAGTGGCAAAGCGGCCTGCTACGGCACGGCTTAGGACGAACTGTGCAATCCCATATACGGTGGCCCTGTTTTCAAGAATGTTTAGGCTGAGGAAATAACCGCGGCTAGAACTGCGGATTAGTAGAGAGAAAGACGAAAAAAAGGTGTTCCGTACAACTGACTTATATTGAGAAAATGTGAGGCTCGTCAGCAGGACGCCAGGGAATCGCACTCCGATAATGCAAAAGCCACTGTGTTGCCGTCTAGCCTAGGAATAATACGATGATACTCCAAGCAGGAGTGTATTTATGGAATCTTTGTGAGCGCTGAGTTGGAGCCGTTTTCTCCATTATCGACGGCGGTAGTCACTGCCGACCATCGATCCCCATGAAGCGTAGTCTGCCACTCTCGAGTCAAACGGGCTGACGCGGCCCCCCGTGCGAACTGGACAATCTGTCCCCATGTAATTGTAACGGTCACTCGTTGGACTATATTGTTGCCTCAAAGCAGCTCCTGAGTTGCACAGGTCACATGGACCCAAGGCACCAAGGTTTGGAACAGAGCTGGAGGCGGGCGATCTTGGTCGGCTGTTTCCGCAAGAGTAAAGGCAATCACTCTGCAGAGTGCTTGTATCGTAAATTTTCCGTGGTGAAGTGGCTGGAGCTGCGGGCTCCTGGAGAGTGTAGCCGCTTCCACGGCGCTGGTCACTGTTTCTCCTTGGCGCTGTTACAGGAGATAGAAGTGAACGGCTCCTCGGCTCTCTAGGAGAAGGATTTGGGAAGCTCTCGTCCAACCTCATGCTGGACTCTCGTTGGACGGGGCACGAGACAATTTGTGCTTTGCTTTCGCAGCGAACGTTAACAGTAGCCTGAGGCGGAGAGTGACTTTCAATTTTAGCCTTCGCTCGTCTTGCTTTGGGTCTGGGGAGACGGTCAAGCACTGCCCTGGCAACTGCAAAATCTGACGCAGCTGCACCCAACTGCCATTCAAGAATAGGAAGCAATAAATCATCGTCTTCAATCAGCAACTGGCATACCATTGCATGCGACTGATGGAGCTTCGCTTGACCGGACAATACATACCGACACCCCTCAGCACAACGGGCTGGCGCGTCCGGTGGAGGCACCACTTCCAGTGTTGTCAGATGTTCAAGACTAAGGAGCAAATCTAGTAGACAATCCTCATGCTGCTTTTCTAGCTTTTCAAGTTGCACGCGTAGACGGCTCTTTCGCTTTTCTGGGGACATTTCCACAGGAGTGCGGCGCCGTAAAAAGCAGTCAAATCTGCTACTTAGACAGGTGCCAAGTTGCTTGGCTAAACGGTGGCATAGTGCCTCTCGGAATTTAGGTGCAAGGGCTAGCATCGTGTGTACGGCCATGTTCAAGTGACGGCAGGCCTCGCACAGCATTTCGGGGGACAACTTTACGGCGGCGTCAGACCCCGCCGGTAAAACCCGCTCGAGTAGTGACAAAGCAGCGTCGAGGTGATCGATTTGCTGCATTAGCAGCAGCTTTTCGTCGAGCAGGTCGCCGTCGAGGCTTGCAACCTCATTGCGGATTCTTGCCGCCGTTGCTTCAAGAACACTTTGGGCTCCTGCAACAAGAACACCACGTGAGTTTGGGTCCCCCTGGACGGTCTCTGTCACGTGAGTTCTGTGACGCCCCATTGTGCAGAAGCTGTGTGTTCACCGAGCACCCTTCAGTTTGGCTCTCCGCAGTGACCGCCTGCGAGGGGCAATGAAGCCCTGCCCACATCCTATGTCACCTTTTTTGATCAATTTTTCGCTCTAATCGCGTTTTCAAAATTTTGTACTGTTTGCTGCTTTATCCAGGAATAGCTGCGCTGCAGCCAGCATCAGGCCGCACCGCCACGGAGCCCCAAGCTGAAAACCGCTGTTGGCCTGCATTCTTCCGTAGGCAGATATAGCTCGATCGTACTTTTCAGTGTATCACTGGCTTTGAATTAATTTAGGGACTGCGCTGTGAAGTGCAACGAAGGAGATTTACCAGGCAAAGATGCTCACCCCGATGATGTGCGAGGATACGTGGCCTGTCTCATGGGTCATTTATTTAAGTTTTTCGACTTGTAGCACTTGGATAATTCCGGCTGGAAGGAGTGAAATACCTGCCTCACATTTTTGGAATGGATTTCTGTAAGGCTACTGTGGGAACTAGGGGTCGAACTGTGGTATCGTTATCAAGTGTATCGACTAGTTGGTGACCTCACGGGAGAACTGGGATTCGAGGACGACGATAGCGTGTCACGACATGAGTCGCTTGTAAACACGAGTACCACGAAGTACTTTCTACACCCATTTTATCCAATATTGGCAGGCACTTTTCCACCATAATCGTTGGTTCCTACCTTTTCCGTTACTAACTGCGCTTCTGTGAGAAAATGGGAGCCGGTGGACGCGGGCATTGCCACACGCGTGGTCGCAAGCGACACTGCAAGAAGTACGGTAAGCATATCAGACATTACTGATCTGTTGAATATGTCTAAGAATGCTATGTTTTTCTCGGCAGTGGGTCCTTCAGAGGATAATCCTCTAGAATCTGTGTAGAACACACAGAGAAGTGCCAGTGATGCCACTGCCTGGATAATAACTAGTGTGCTTGTTATGCTGTGTAAAAGCCACAAAGATCCTGTAGCAATTGATGCTGGGCAGAGCTGTGGACGCTGGATCTCGTCATCTCCGTTGGCTGTACTGTACAGACGGGCACTACTTTCCCTATGAAGATGGGAAGAAACGAAGCAGAGGACAAAAAATAGTACAAATTAGGCAGCGGCAGGAGATATTTGGCCTTGGTACTGCTGCACGACTAGTTATGTGCGACGCCGGCCGTGCACTCCTTCTCGCCACAGCGTATCGCATGAGAGAAGAAGTTATGACGTTTGGAGATTGCCTAGCCAAAGAAAGGATAGCCTTATTAAAAGGACTTGACCATTTGGAGGCTCCTTTACTGCTGATTGAGCGATTGCTTGCACCATTTACCGCACCCGGGAGGTGCCGAGTTGACTTCAGTTTCGTCAATACAGCTTGCCGGCATTACCATCTGGCACTCGATGCCTTCATAGCTGTTGCACCATCCTTCCGGAAAGCGCAAGCTGTTCGTCACAAGTGGATTCGCAATAGAGGAAAGTGCTGTGCAAGGATTCGTTGTTGTTGTAGCATCATTTGTTGTGGATGCCACTGCCATAAACATCCTCCAATGGCCCGCCGTATGTCCAGGGCGAGGAAGATATTCGAAGACCTCGAGATAAAGCATGAGGCTTCTGTAATTGATTTGGCGCTAACGTATGAATACTACTTGAGCTCACCCGAGCCTCCACCGCCAGATGCGCCAGCTAGATGCCTCGCTGCAGGCTGTTTCATCTTGGCAGCGCAGCGAAAACTGCATCAAGTAAGGAACAAAGACGAATGAGACAATAGGCAACTATGTGGTGGGCTGTAGAATGATTATTAACGGGGAAAAAGCCAATGGAGACATGAAAGTGCAGGCGGACAGGCAGATTGCAATATTTGTGCACAGATACGAAGCCAGTTTCAGCCGCTGTGACCCAGTTTTGGGTGCGACGTGTTTCTCACCAGCGGCAGGTGCCCAGATATTCTGCTGCGGCCCCACACTACCCATTTTGACAAGGTCTGTAAGTGTTCTTTTCAGGTAAATTGCCACTTCCTGGAACCGCGGGACAAAGTGACAATGGGGATGGCAGAATGGACACTAGAAGAAGCTGCCGCGGACCTAAGAATAGCGCATGCAAAACTCAAGACACTTCCACGTCGTATGCGCTCTGGTCGAAAAAGAGGGAAAAGACCCCCTCCACTAGTAACATTTCTCTCCCCTGGAAATTGTGTCACCATGGAGGAACATCCGAAGTGGCTTAGTGCTGACGAGCACTGCGGGCCGTGTAGAGAGTCATGCATAGTCCCACCTTGCGGTGGTCATGTTGGATTTCCATTGGCATCTCACGTTAACCCTTCAGGGCCTGTCGCATTCCCTGTAGTTCCAACAACTCAACAAATTCCCGCAGCACCTGCGGCACCACCTTTAGAGCTTCCGCAGGCTGTTCTAGTGCCGCAAAATCCAGTCTTAGCAGGCTCATTCCCTACGAAATTAATACAGGCATCTCCAGTGTTACCTAGCCCTTCACGTTTCCAGTCACCCTGTGTCCGATTTCTTCTGCCGGACTCGGGAGCAACAAGCATTTCTCAGCCAGCTGCCGTCTCCAGCCAAAGGGCTGCTGTGAGCGCAGTGTTGCCAGGTGGAGGATGTGTTGTACCCGATGCACGCTCTGGAGGTGCTGTGCAATTAATTCACAGCCCAACATATCGCGCGGCTCGGACTTGTAATGGCATCGCTACTCAACTTAATTGACTTGAAGTGATACTACCGTCTTTCTACTGCCTTCTAGTGAAGAATGCCAGCCCCTTGGTCAGACTTTGCTGTTATTAGGACTACACTACACTGGAACCTGGCGTAGATAGAAAAACATGTGTTTCGTTTCCAACAGACATGCCTGTTTCTTCTGTTACCAAATCTCCTGGATAAATTTAGCAGGTCCACGTGTCCCCCTAGTAGAGGTGCAGCTCCGTTGGCAGATAAGTTCGATAAAAGCCCTACGAAACAGCGCTGTCGAAAGCCTGTCAGTTTGTTTGCCGGAGGCGTGCCAACAACCTGCTGCGTGCCTTAGAGCTGAGGCTAGTTAGTTCTGGAAATGGTGCTCGTTTGATGACATGAAGTTTGATTCTTATCAGACGCGTTCGATCTATCTGGAGGTCTGGGAAAGGAACTTCGCTTGGAAATGCACTCAGCAGATTGTACTCCCTGCGCTACTGAAGAAGACGCATAGGACACTGGATGCAAAATAAGCCCCAAAAAGGACGTTTGTGAAAAAGGCAACATGCTAAGTATCAAGCGAAGTACTTAGGACTCTGAACGGCGGATTCAATACAAATCGCTTTCTGTCAGAGAAGACCAAAGCAAGAGTTAGCAGAAATTTGATGAGGCACGCGAATTTGCATTTTGTTCAAGCATGCGGGCACTTTTCCGGCTAGCGGAAAGGCCCTCACCCTCTTTTGCTTATGGTTCTGTCTGACTATTGGAAAGCACTTCTGCATCAATCAAGTTCGAATAACACACCCATTGTAGATTTGAAGGGGACTGCTTTGCTTGATGATGATGGAACTCTGGAAGTACAGGCGCGTTACAGCGCAGAACTAGTCCGTTTCATGCAGATGTTGTTGGGCATATCTCCCAAAGCAATTCTTGAAAATATGCCAGTGTGCCGGAGGCTACCATGCTTCAACAATGCCTTGTTTAACAGTCTCAAAAACGGACGTAAAGTTGTTTTAAACCTCTCGCAATGCAAAGGATCATTATGTGGATGGTCTATCGGGGGATTCTGCCGGCGCAGGCTCGCTAATTTGACTAAACTATTGCGGCAAGCGACCCTAGCCATTATGGAAGCCAGTAGTCTCCACCAGTCGCCATTGTTTTGCGATGCGCGCCATTTAAACATCTTCTGCTGTCGTTTTAAGGTAATGGTACAACTCCTATGTATTACCTCAGGTTTTTAGGTTTCCCATACTGCTCTCAATGCATTCCCTGCTTGTGAGCTGTTAGGCAGCGGCTACTCCGAAAAGATCGTCACCGCGTGACAATGCTTTCCGTAGGACTGGGAAGGTACTTAGTGATATTTAAGCTGTCTGTCTGCCTCAGAAAATGAGAGGGTGCGCGAGGTTTCTACCATGTGCTCGTAAATAATGAAATTCGAGCTAGTCTGCCATCAAGTTGTCTTTTCACTGACGAGCATGAATAAAGAAGCAATGAAATGGCAACGTGCTCACGAAACTACTGGAAGTATAGTTCGTAATCGAGTGCTGCTTCGGATTGCCCAACTTCCTTCCTACTAGCCTGCGAAAGAGAGAAAATGAAGCTGGCAGCGCACTGTGTGCTGTGAAGAAGCTTGTGGTTTGGTCGGCTGTAACACGACTGAGGAAGCCATGCTTCTTGTGAATATAGAGTGGGAAGCATCTGTGTTTCCTTTACACACCTCTTCCTGCTTGTAGAATGGCTTCGAACGAAACATTACTGGTCTTCGAGGTCCCCGGACCAGGGTCTCTCCAGACTGACGTGAGAGCTGCAGCTCATTCCACCCACAACAGGTATATCTCCTTTTAGTGGTGAAAACTTGTGACAAACTGACTCAGTGCTTGAAGCCTTATTATTTTGTTAATGATGTGCAGTGAAGGCCCCTTTCAAGCTCACCTGAAGTCTTTCGTCACTTTTGAGATGCTGCTTGGCCAGCTTTTCTTGCCGTGCCCTTTCACGACGTTGCTTTTCCTTCGCCTTTTCAAGTTGATGTACTAGCTCTGGGTTTTCAGCTGCAGAAAAAGAAGTTTGACGAAGGAAGCTCAATTGGCTGTTGGGGATATCCTGGGAAGCAGCTGAAGCGCAGAAGACGCATCTGCGGATATGAGCCGAAGCTACGTCGTGCGCATAAGTGGTGCTGTCGGAATAGGCAGTTTATTTAAGTGACGTGTTGCCTTCGTGCTTAGCAAGTATCGCAAGATGCGAGTCTAGGCGGGCTTCAATCTGCTCCAGCATGCGAAGACAGTCTACAGAAGCTTCCTCTGTTCGCAAACCACAACACTTCTTGTTCATAAGCACACATTTTTTCCAACGTGCGTTTATGATCAAGGAAGTCTACAGCTTTCCTACTTTCAAAGCCGCAGGCTGCATGAATTGCCGCAACATGAGCAGTCAACTTTTGGAGAGCTGCTGATGCGTCGGACTCTTGTTCCTGCAAAGCCAACTCTTCTGCACCGCAAACCCAAATTGAAATGGAGTGTTTGTTCCACAGACTAAAACATAACGCCATGAACGGCGTAGCTTTTACAGGCTTGGTTTCTGTACTCAACTCTTGCCCGTGCATCGTGAGCTCTAGCATGTAATACGACTATAAACCTATGAAGTAGTTGCACGCTGTGGTAGCGTGGAATGAAGTTATAAAACGGAATAGGCAACGCGCCTTTATGCTGCATGCACTTGTCGCGCTGCTGTTGAAGTTGGCGCTGAAGTTGTGCAATCACCGCTTCTAATCCTTCCAGCCGCGCTCCCATCTCAGCACGAGTCTCATCGAATCGTTTCTCCATCGTTTCCAGCTCCTGCAGTTAACGATCGCGTAAAAATTCTACTAAATGCCCTTGAGGAAACTGTGAACACAGAAGAGCCTCTCTACTCCGCTGCGACGTAAAGGCGGATGCAGTGCTACTGCATGCACTTCTTCGTCAAGTGCTGAGCTTTTTAAAACAAAATCTAACGCTACAGTTTGCCTTCCCAAATGGCTCACAATGGCTGCTTCATGAGCGTTTTGAATTAGGAACAGATTCTCCTCTTCCAGTTCCTGAAAAAGGCGAAGCGGTTCTTGTGGATCTTTGAAGTAAAGATCAATGCCAGTGACCGCCAACTTTTCCGCTGAATGCAGAGCCAGGCCGCACTGCAGGGATGCATGGACACCCTCGGATAGTCAGCGCATATGCACACGTAAACACGCTCTTTGCCCACACTGAGTCACATGCGTAGGCATTCACGAGCTCGACAACGCAGAGCGTTTTGAAAGTGGCTGGAGAAGCACTGCGATCTTCAACAAGAACCTGCATTCCGGCTAGTTCCCATAAACACACAGCATTTACAGCTAGTTGCCAAGGTGGCCTGGTCCACTCACCATCGAACATATTCTCGAGGTCTGCTGCGGTCTTTAACTTTCCGTATAGCTCCATTTTTTTTTTCTCGGCTCTCTCCTCCATTTCCTTTCGAGTAGATGCACCTGAAGGTGCCAAAGTGGTAAAAGCTCGACCTTTTGTTAAAAGATCAATACGAACATAGCTGCGAGAGAAAAATGAGGACTTGCAAAGGCAAATTTCGTGTCCATTTTCACGTTCATCGCGGTTTTTCCCTTATTTTTGCATGCTTGACTTTCGTTTGGGCCTGCGGCGGTAGGTTTCGTACCAGCTTTGGCCCCGCGGAACTTCTTTTTCTCTAGTTCTTGAATTTTTTCACGGAGGTCTTCGTCAATGGTTTCAATGTCGGCGGTGTACTGAAGCTGCTGCTGCTGCAGCTGATTCTGGACCCACTGCTCTTTTTTCTTCTGGACGCGCTCCTTAGACCGCTCTTCCTGTTCCTTTATCCAATCCTATGAATATCAGTAAGCGCTACCGTACAGGGCATACTTGCTGCGTGATTCATTTCGCTTCATTCGACTGGCTAAGCTATATTCTTGTAGTCGGGTAGTCTAAAAACAAGGGCACACGTTGAGATATCCATGGTTCCAGATTCAGTCCGACTGCTCTTACCTGGGGAGTTATATGTTCTAGGAAGGATCTATACCTTGAGTATTCTTCAATTTTTTCCCGATTAGATGCAACGCGAGCTTTTGTAGCGTCGAGTTTCTGACGGAGTTGCCGGACTGCGACTGCTTTCTCGTGAGCAGCCCGCGCTGCTTCGTCGGCTTTCTGCGCCATCACAGAGTCATGGTAAAAACATGCGACAATAAAAGAGCCAAATGCATAAGTACATTCATAACATGCACCAAGAGTGAAGCAGATTGTTTGCCGAGGCAGTGGCAGCGTTCTTGCCGTTCATTAGGAGTTTCACTTATGTAGATTCACAAGAAGGCGCGTTCTCTTTGGAAACAAGCCTAAACAACTCCACGTTTTGGAACGTGCATGCGTTATGCGTGTGCTGTGTTCGAGGTGAAGTTTTATGAACTCACGCGGATAGCTTCGTGCGCAGCTGCATCACTGCTCCTTAGAAACTCGTCAAATTTCTGTGCGTCCCTTGTTAGCATGCTTTCAGCTGTCTTAACGGCCTCTACCTTTTCAGCTGCTCGATCGTGGAGCTTAAGGATTTCTATTTTTGTCACAGGCAAAACATACGCAATCTCCTCAGGGAATCGAAGCTTGGAGTGCTACATTAACGTGTCCGTTGGTCTTCTGCCTTTTGGAGCACCAAGATAGGCTGAGTCTGCATTCGGCTAGACATACGAACCTGCCTTTCTAGTGTCTATTGCCATCTGAAGCAAAAATGCTTCTCTTGTCTTTTCCACTAGGGCGCGTGTTCCCCCACGTCTTTCTGCCCATTTGAGAGTCGTTTGAGCTTGGTCATCACCAGTTGTTTGTTGCGCGGAATCTCTGTTATTTCCTGCCATAGAAACATCTTCTTCTGCATCTGTATCTCCAGCAGCGCCACTACAATTTGCGCAAGCATGAGCATGAGAGTCATCGGCTGCTCTCCGTGTTTCATCTGTTTCCTCCTCTCCAGTAGGGAAATGGATCGACGAATCATTTGTAATAAGAATTTCTCTTTCTTCCAAAGTACTTTCTGGGGAGAGTTTTTGGGGAGCTTGTGTGCGTTGAGTCTCATCACTAACGGTGGCCTTCGCACGCAGAGTAACCAGTTCAGCAACCACGCGGACTTTGCTGGCCGGTACTACCAAACCGGTCCTGTGAGCTAATCAGTAAAGCGCCCTTCTCCACAGGTTAAGGAAAGGAACGTAACGTGCCTGCATTGCTTCCTCCGAACAGGTTTTGTTCTTCACTTCCTGCTGTGTAGCCGGAGGCAGGGAAGGCCTTTCCAGTCACGAGCTGATTCAGTTGGACACTCTAAGTGAGAAGGCCGCTTCAGGCTCATGAATAACAGTTTCCTATCCGTCACTTACAGGGACGAATAGTGTATCCGATGCCCATTATTCAAAATTGAGTGAATTTGCTCTGCTGCCAAGGTTGTTACCACAACCTTGCATACAACGCAGTTGAGTAGGTTGCTACCCCTCGCATGCTCGACAATCACTCCAATCAAGACGGTATTTTAATGGTAAGTGCTTCTACAGCGCCTTTCTAGAAGACTTAGCGGCTTATGCTATGCATGAGTAGGGATGACACGGAATGCAATCTCGTTCATGCTTCACTCTCGTTGAGGTGTTGGTCTGCAACACCAGTTGTTAGCGACTAGTCTCCCAGTGGACAGCAAACAGATTTCATATACTAGTTACGTTGGGTTTGAGGCATGCTTTTAGGTGTCGCCTTCGGGTTGGGAAACGTGATTGCGTTCTGTGCGATCAACTGGTGACCCCTGTCACCTGTAAAGCTGAAATCTGGAGGACTAATGGGAAAGAAGAGTCCCTACTCGGGATATGACCAGTACAATTTCCCAGCTATAAATTTCTAAGCATTGCTAAGCACTGCTAAGCATTCGACTTTCAAAAATGTCTACAGCCTCGTCTAGCAGGGGCTGTGACAGCATGCATCATGATCGAGCGTCAACACACAGAGAGTCCTAAAGAATAACGGCTGGTCTCATTGCCTTGCACCATTTACAATCGCTAATCCATTTCATACCTATATATGTAAAATCAAGTAGGTATCCCAGTTTTTGCTGAAGAAGCGAGAGCTGACGTGCGTCGCAGATTATCACACGGCTAACCTCCATGCGGCGGCGTGCCAATGTTCTTGGGCCATTTTACAGAAGTGGAAGTTCTTGAAAATCTTCTAGTAAGCAGTTCATTTTTCTTTATTTTAGTTTGAGTCGCTCCCAGGGGGAACTTTTGGACTGTTGGGAGACACGCTGCACATGTTACTACGGTCTGTTGACGCTTACCGCCAACCTGAAGGCTACGAATTGATATTTATGACTGAAGCAGATAGTTGCTGACCCTCTTGGGAAGTTGTGGAATCTTCTCGTTTTTCAAAGTGCGTCACTTTCAGTCCTCTGCACATTCTTTTGTAGTGGACGCGACACACAGTGCGGCAGCGATGCATTGTGTCGTTCCCTCGAAAATATGTTCAGACTTGCGACTATTCGTAGCGAAATAACAGCTGGACAGCCGTGGATTTTGAAAATCTTGGCATTCGTCACCTCGACGCGGCAATGAGATAGCGCGATCACGAGCCTATAAACTTTTAAATCGAAATTAGAAGGCTTTGCTGAGAATGTTAACATCTCAGGAGAGTGACATGAAAAATGTAGACTATATCCTTTATTCACGCAGAATGGAACCGGGTTGCCGAGCTTGACATCATGTAGCGTTGCAAGTTTCTCTGGGGCTCTTCAGGAGAGGACCGTACTGAACCGCATTGATTGTGAAGTGGGAGAGGCAAACCACGCTACCAACTCCCGCAACAAGAAAGTCTTCATGCGTGAATTTTTAGCATCGCTACCGCACTTAGTCGTCTCATAGGCTGTTGATTCCTTCATTTTTGGCTGCCTACGAAAACTCTGAAAGACAAAGCATTTCAGCTTGCGCAGCGCTTCCTGAAATTTCAAAATGAACGCCAAACAAGATCCAACTGATGGTAACAAAGCTGCTTTTAGAAAATACTTGGAAGATCATGGTGTCATTCGCCAGCTTACGCGCGTTCTTGTTGGACTTTATGAGACTTCTGAACGCCCGCTGAACGCACTTGACTACATCAAGCGGCATTTAGGAGCTCCAACAGGTAAAGTAAAACCCCTTCAGGCTGGCACAAAGTTGCTTGCGGGAACTGTGGGAGTTTTTCTCAATTTGACGGCGAGTTTTATCCAATCTTTCCCTAGTGACGTGCGTGTGTAGGTGTAGAAGTAGATGCACTCCGGGCAGAAGTGCAGAATTTGACAAAGGAAAATGCTGCATTGAAGGCCAAGGTGGAATCTCTGCAACAGGAGGTGGCGCTTCTGCAACGCGAGCTCGCTGATTAGTTATGGAGGACAGCATTTGTGTGAGAGCCGTCCTGAATATCCTTCCCTGGAAGCTGACTCTCGAGCAAGGGAGGAGTCTAATGATTTATACTGCGGTTGAAAGCTGGCTTGCTCCTGCTAGCTTACAAATACACTGAGTTCGTCTCGCTCGCCTCAGTGCTTTCAAGAACTGTTATAAACGATTTAGGATGCGCTGCAATCGCCTTCGAAGCCATCGAATTCATATCTAGGGCTGCGGCTTCATGATGAGCACGTTGCAGTTTTAGAGCGATACATGCGCGGTGAAATTGGGAAACGTACTTCGCATACACAGCTCACGGCATGTAGTGAGCGCCTAGAAAACACTTGTCCCCATGTTAAGCCTAATGAAAGGTACGGGCTTCTGCAAAAGCATAAAAATGGTCCAGTGGACTTACAATCGAGACAGCTATGCTTCTTAGTCTTTATAAGCTGCTCCACGATTTCACATCGGCGTGGAGAGTGCGTAGGATCATGCTTGACAACAGCACCTCCTAAGGTATGAACAGCTAAGGCAAAGTATTTTTCTGGAAACACTCTCCGTCAGATGCGCCTGACTGTATAAAACTAGTAGGCACGAAACGAATCCCTCAGCTAGCTAGCTTTGGGAGCTTGTGTTCTGTTCGTGAACAAAATGAGTAAGTTTTTGACAGTATGTCCAAGCATTGACGCAATTTGATGATGGTACCTTATGTAGAAGCGGAAAGGGCCTGCACCTATTCATTTCAATGATCCAATAGGCATCCAGCGTTAAACTCTATGGATATGCAGCACACGCGCGAGGCGCACTAAATGAGTTTCCTAGGACATCGTTTATAACTCCTTTCAGCTAAGATGACCTGTCTGAAACCTCCAGAGCCTTGCAGACGGACACAACGATGGCTCTGATACCCCGACTATACCTTACTATTTTGTCTGGTAAATAACTGAATTCACTGCACCTTCTGCCAGCTTCACATTTCGCTCTAAAGTATCAAACGACGCGGTACGGAAAATAGGTACAATGCGAAATGGTAAACACTGCCTACAGCTGGCAGTTTTCTGTATCATTCGCAACATTGTCATGTAACAAACGAGACCAGTGCTAAACTTCCTCTGGCCCTTACGGTTCTGTCTTAGACTACCTAAGCTTGAAACCTGTAGGGGTACTTCCAAAGGAATAACGTTGGATATACCGCCGGGAGAGCGGGCGCTAGATACGACGCAGCTTCATGCGTTGGCTCTGGAACACAACGTGAGAATACAGCCTTAGTGCATGACAGGATGTATGGGGGGAAAATAGTGTGCTTTTTGACAAATTAGGTTTTCGTTTAGCCGATTCGATCCGCAGCTATCAACGAGTGTCTCCAGCCATTCCACATTCCGCAGAGCTTTTCTCTATGAAGCAGCTTCCACGTAAGACTGCACCTGTTGAACTCTAATGCAAACTAGATTCTTTCGGCCTTCAGGCCTTTACAACACCTCCCCAGATCCCCCTTTCTTTTTCTCCTGTTGTTCATTGCGTAAGATGTGTTGATCCGTACAATCACTTTCTAATGTTTCCTCCTCCTATGAAAATTGTAGCGGTACGTTTCTGCCGGCTGATAACAAATATCAAGCCCTTTTTGCTGGGAGAGATCCGTTAAGGTGGCCAACCACAATGACCTGCACGTGCTTTACGTTTTCTACGTCTTTCCTTTTAAAAGCAGTTTCTGGCCACGCAGTGTCCCGTTAACATTTGATGCTCGTTGTAACTGGGCGCCAATTAAAGCCTGGACCACCAACCGAACTAGGAACGCGCATTCAGGTGCAGTCCCCACAAAACGCAGTGAGGGCTTTACGACTGGAGTGGCCTAGGATTTTTGGTTGGCTGCCTCCCTGGCTAGAATGAAAAGCACGTAAAAGGAAACCACCTAGCGAACAAAAATGGGGGCAGTTCCATGACCTGCTGGCCAAGTAAACTGCTAGAAAATGCTCCTTGTTCTGCTCCTCCCCAGGCGTGGCGCTGGTGACACAAGGCTGTAAACAAGTTCAGTGAAGCGACAGCAGCCAGTTGCAAAAACGTTCGTATGACATGACACTTTATTTCACAGTTCCCTTTACTTTGTGTATGAGGCTTCATAGGTAGTTGTGTTACCTGCTGACTCACTGTCATACAAACCTACCGAGTTCTAAAAGGCTTTCCAGAATCTTCTGTACGACCGTATTTAGGTACACAATTCAACAATTAATTATCATTTTTGCGCTACACCCACATCAGGCAAACTTGGGATGGGGGTTCAAACTACAAGAATATTGAAACAAGTAGACGAAGCACTCGATTAGTCCTTCGGCTCAATGCATTCTGCCAGAAGCGCCCGGTGTCACCAGTGGTTGAGGCGACCGCGTCCAGCCTTGGCAGTTATGGAAACTCACCTAGCTTGCGAATATTTTTATAAAATCAAAATCAAAACAAGACTATAGTGAGCACAACTCACAGATGATGCAGCAGCAGCTCGGCGGGTCACCTGAAGCCCCACCCCTTGCACGTGGCTGCACTTAGCTGAAATACAGCGAGCGATCTCAATAATCTGGACCGCATTAGCAGAACTTGCACTTTTACAAATTATATAGGGACAAGTACGGACTTTCCAGTCCGCAGAGTCGGCAGCTACGGAGCCCGAGCATTCCAGCATCAGGACTCGACGCAGAGAAGGGAAGGTGGGCGTAAGCGCAACGCTTACAGGGCCGTGACGGGAATAATGGCCTGCAATGATGCTGAACCTTACCTTCGCCTGCATAACCAGTAGGCGAAGAGGGACGCTGCGCCAGGGAATTTCGTTGAGCCCGTCACATCACGCGTTTATGAGATTAGGAATGCGGCGGGCACGGAGGATCCACAAAGTTACTTGTGCTTCTAGGCCCCGTATGGCGACATTGCGTTCTGCGTGAAAGTTCGGAACACAGGTCCGGGGGCAGAGTCCAGCACTACTGCATTTCCCGTGGTTACTGGTGAAGGCCTGATGAGGGTGTGCAACTTTGGGCTTTCCCAGGCTACAGCTAGAATTTCACGTAGCTCATCCCTTGAAATCAAGACCCTGCTAAGCTGTATTAATATTACAGGCAACGTGATGGGGATCCCCGACATATCAAAAGCACAAATGAGGCTCAGGTGGACTGTCATCCAGCTGGTTCTGTTCCTAGTAATACCCATTGATGCCCAAGCGAAAGGCCATGCTGCCAGCCCAACCGTTAGTTCTGCTGTCCCTATACCGGCAATGCGTATGGCCGAAGAGAATAGTACAGCAGTTGGGCAGTGTGGAATTGTGCTTTCTGAAACCTTCGCTACTCAAAAGCTTGAGCAGAATAGGCACCGGCAGCTTTGCTTTGCGCTGCAAAACTACGGATTTCTTACGAGATACGTGCGTCATAAACAGGAGGAAGCGTCGTTCTGGGGAGGCGACTGCTGCCTACTGCTAGTATTTTGCGGACATGATTGCCACCGTCTATACGGACATCCCCAAAAGACTCCGGCAGCTACAAACGTTATCTCAGAAGTAGCAGCTCTCTTAGCAGGCAAAACTGAAAATCAGCAGCCTCTTAATGGAGGAACTGGGTTTTCTTCCCAAACCAAGGTTACTGCACATAAGGATTCGGACACTGTAGAGCATGAAGGCGAACTGCCGCAACATAATCTAATCCTGTCTAAGGTTGACAATGCAAAAAGGGGTGAAGTCCCGCTTTCACCGTCAAATGGAAGCACGGAACAAACGGTGGTGCCAAAAGCGGAACGGCGGGATAAACGTCAATGGCAAGGCCACTGCAGAAGACACTTCATGTCTCACACAACGCGTGCAAATTGTATAGGTGTCTACTCCATAGAATTTGAAGCACAAAATCAAAGTTTCGGCAGGTTTTTCGCCCGTTTGGCCCTTTTGCTTGGAGCTGCAGATATCGAAGCAGTTGTTGATATTGAACGAGAGCTCCAACAGTACATTCGCGCAAAAGAGTTGAGGGCTCTACAGGGCCCCGCCCTCGCATCATCGCGACAATCTGGACGCACCATGACAGCCTCAGCAAATTCCAGCCTTGTGCTGCCTCAACAAAGTTCAGAAGCATCAAATGAAAAACCAAGAAGCTCTTCATTCTCTGCGCATACGCTAAATAACGACTTGAGAATCGTGCTGGAGCCGTTGCGCTCAGACGAGAGCCAAGTCGGTGAAACAGATAATGTACATTTCGGCACATCAGCTCAGACTATACAGATATCTATCCCTTCGAATTTCAGGGCTCGTCTTGCTTCGGATGGTGCACCTGGCACGTCAACGGCTCATCCGAGGCGACTTCGAGGGGGCAGTTCCAGGGGACCTATTAGCTCGGCAACTGGTGATGGCCATAAGGCTGGCGCTGCAAGTGCTCCCATCAATTCGGCTGCCTACTGCAAGGCCGTTGCAGCATTCATGTCACAAAAGGCTGAATTGCAGTGGCTAGAGGAACACATTTTTTTTCTGCCCCACCGACCATGACTGAACGAAACCACAAAGCGATTTGCGGCGTAGTAGTCAGGAGAGCTCAAATAATAGCTCCGCAGCCCCTCGCATGCTCTATCATAGCTCAGTGTGACACGAAAATTGACATTTTCCATAGGAACCTAAAGAATGCTTCAGCAAGACTGAATGCACGTTTGCAGGACACAGTTTGTGCACGCATTTTTAGTCCTAACACAGGCCTTCAGCCAAAGTCATCTGCTTGCAAGCCTACCCTAAGTGTAGGAATCGAATATGTATGTATGTAATCGTCTGTTGCAGCCTGAAACCCATAATAAGTGGATAAGATTTAGAAGTGCAAATGCCTAATATTATATATGTGCCAGAAATTTGCGGAGACGAACCTGAGTAATGGACCTCGGATACGGGGAATTAGGAAAGAGGCCGCTGGCAGGTGATGCCAAGTGGTCCCACAGTGCAAAACTGTAAAATGCGAAAATGGCACTTGTTTCAACTGCATTGCATCCAAAATTTTCCATATATTGATAAATTGAGCAAGTATGCAAGCTATTGACCCTCAGTCCATTATTTTGCTGAATAGAGGGTATAAAAGTGGCGGCTCCGAAGTTCTTTTTAGCCAGGAGTCTCCAGCTTCGCGCGCCATGCTACTGACTAGTAAATCATTCAATCCTCTTGGCAAGATTGAGCATGTAAAGGAAGCGGTTACAAGCAGAGGCACTTGCACCGAATCACCGAACGCCAGCGTGATTTCCCTCCTGACGGAATCTCGGTCAACGCATAACCTGCTCCACGGAAGCATTCTTCCGGCATTTCAGTTGACAAATATTACGTAATATTAAGTGTACTATTCTACATGAGGAGCTGCCAGAGCTGGCTAGGAATTTGCTCTCCACCAGTACTATATCTACTCTGGAACAACGTGGACAAACGTAAAAGTAATACAGCAGTCAGGAAGAAGCTGTTTTCTAGGAGAAACTACGCTTTCAGCGGTAGCGGCATCAGAGTACCAAGCAAAGCAAATACATGGCACAGTTTTGTCCACCATTCTGCGGTACTTGCAAAGCAGTTTCCTGCCAGGTGGGGCTCGTGTTTCAGGGCCTCATAAGACAGAGTTAAGATGCCATAGCTTCAGCGCTGATGTCCAGTAGCTTCCCACTAACTTCGTGTGAGCTGTACGAGCTGGACTTCATCACGCCTGCAGGCACTTCAGCTTCGGAGGCTAACTTTGCAGTTAGCTGCAGAAGTTGTCGTGTACGTTCACAGTGAGTGAGTCCCTTGCCGGAAGCTAAATGGTATCGTTTCTCCTTTCGGGAGCGCCATTAAAGAATGGCAGAACTGACGTCGAGTCATAAGCGACAGGAATCTCCCCACTACATTGGAAAAGACTGCTAGAAAAGCAGCTTCCAGCATCTCTCCTATTACGTATTAAAAAACGCCTCTTACTGTTTTGAGCAAGATCTTTTACTAAAGATCCTGAGTATATAACGTACTGTAGCCTGAGAGCGCAGGAGCGACAACTGCGGTAAAATGCCGGAATGAAGACAGCTCATGCTCAATCTAATTCTTAACGCATCTGGTAACAGATGTAAAGAGACTCCAGATCCTGAAGGCTCTCGGCCAACTAAAGTGATGAGCAGTGAGTGGTGAGCAACTAGCAGCCTGTGAGTGGGAAGTGGTCTTGGAATTCTGCATCTCGGCATCCGACCACAAACGGCAAAAACTGTACAGCTAATGGCCAGCCAGAACCACAAATAATACTATTCCAGTTAACGGCCAGTGTTTTCATCATTTCATCCCCGAGCAGCACTGTATGATCTGCTTGTACGATGTGCAATACAGCACCTCGAAAGTATTCATCGTCACTACTCATCTATTTTGCTTAAGCTTCTTAAAGGACGGTTGCTTATGCACACTGTGGGGTGCACTATTCATGTTGTATCGTGCCGACACATGGCTACCCATGCCAGGCAAATACTGTAGAGGCGGAAGCCGGGTATTCAGCTCCCCGAGAAGTCGAAGAAACACGTAGGTGAGCTGCCGACCTAAAATACGACCCGTTTGATTCTATGAATATGGGGAAACTTGCTTGAAGAAGGGAGAAACCAAGTGCATGCTTCGCTGCGGGGACTCCTGCCGCTGGGTTGATTCATGGTGGAAAAAAGAGAAACCCTCCGCTTGTACACCCTCACTACCCTCTTACTATTGTTGTCTTCGCTTTATAGCTTGATTCATGTGTCCTTGCACAGCAGTGTGTTAGTAACTCCAAGCAGAAGCAATGCTTCCGCATTGCCAACCGCTCGTCTTGAGCTGCCTCATCGAGCAGCTCCACTAGATGGCGCTTCTTTTCTTCACTATATATTGAAAGCAAATAGAAGACAATGAGACCGGTAGTGCAACTGCCGATGACCCCATCCGCGGGAAGACCACTGGATAATAAACTTCCAAACTGCCCAGCCTGATCCATTGGCACCTTGCTGGAGCGCCAGCCATGCAACGTCGCGATGCAGTCTGAATACCTCCGCACATTTTTTTGCCCTCAGATGTAACCCTCAGGATTTCATTCGCTCTCCATCATGAAAAGTAGAAGATAACTGGCTAACCCGTTCTGTATCTACCGCGTCGAAGCATCTTCGAGTTCATCTATTGCTTGAGGCCGTTCTGCTCAAGCGCGATTCGTAGAGTGTGCTCTGACGCAGCACAGCTCCTGTCTTCTTTGCTCTTTAAAAGGTGAAATAGTAAGGACTGCCGTATTTAAAAAGCCTCCACATATACACCGGAGCAGCATCCGTCGAGACTCGACTTGGTACTGGTGACTCGAGGTTGACGCGGGCGAGCATTCTTCGAAGGCGGGGGTTCTTGGTGTAGTGGATCGACACTGGCTGCTAAGTCAGACGCATTCACACGATTAGTTAGAATGCGTTGCGTTTGAGCGCTCCTTTGACTAATCACGTTCACAAGGCAGGCGGCGGGGGAGGAGTGGGATAGGCTGCGTGGTTGACATTGGCAGGCACGTACACTGCTTTAAGCTTCTTTTGTATTCATGGCCGCTGGTGAATATTTGTTGCTGAGAGGATTTTTAGCTGTTGGATAAGGGGTGTTCTATTGGGTGCAGTGGGCTTGCAGAACCCCTATCCAAACGGCTTCGATGTGCCGACCATCACGGGGGTGCTCATACAGACCGACTTAGTGACAAAGGTCAATGGTGGGCGGAACACATTAAGGCATAGCAGGGATGGCGGATTTCACGCCGGAAGAGCAGTTTTCGCTGCTCAGTCAACAGCTCCTACTGCTGAACCAAATTCCTGCACAAGATGATCCCATGACTTCTTTGGAAGCAGCAATGGGCGGCCGTCAGAGCCCAAAAGAGATTGTCAGCACCCCAAAGCCTCTACATAGTCTCCGCAGTGAAGGTAGGGGAACCTTAGCGGATGCTTCAGCCTCCAAGGGAGGTTTATTGAGTGAAACCGCTCCAGTGAATTCTCAGGCACTTCCTTCATTGGTATCGCAAGACGCAGCAAATGCTTCCAAGACTCAGCGGCTGCAATTTATGCAAATGGCTCTGATAGAGCATCAACACCAACTGCTGCGTCAACAACAGCATCTACAGCAGCAGCAGCGGCTGCTCCTCCAGAAGTCTCAGGAACGCAACGTTGCACCGCACAGCTTGGCTCAGCTTTTTGTCGACCTTCGTGAAGCCCGCCAACATCGGAATTTGCAGACGCAGCAGCGTTGTGACCAAGATGTTTCGTCTCGTAAATCTGAAGGACGCGCACTCAGTACAGGCTCGCGCCACATTTCCAGCCAGGCGTCTGGTGTTGGAGCAGAAGTTCACGCACCGAAGCATCACGGCGTTTTCGAGAGTTCGTTTGGTACGGGTGTGCAGATTGAAGGGAAGCCTTCAGGACATGCGCGAGAAGCAGACCCGCCTTTGAAGCCCCGCCACGTAGAAGAACAATCATTACAACAGAAAGGGGAGCGACCATCGAGGGTAGGTGGACACGGATTGTCAGACAGGAGAAAAATGCTCCGTAGTGCTGGACTCCTTGACACCCGCACTGTACTAAGCTGTACGCTCAGCGCTCTCCGCTTCGGCAGCAAGAATTTTACAGCGCATTCAAGTGAGAAAAACGACGGCAGCTCTCTCGGGGGAACCAACGACAACAGCGTGCGAATAAAGAGCAAAGATATGCCCAAAAGTGAGTATAAGACTATGTGTTACGAAGGAGTTCATTCTGCACTCGGTGCGTCTCCTTGGGAATCTGCGAGTCTTCCATATGGGCCAGCTGGAGGTAGGGTGGTGCAGGTTCACGAGGAGCCCTTACCCCTTTCTGTTCTTTGCGCCAATGTTTCTCCCTCATCTTTGTGGAAGCACTGCCTGCGGGTGACTCTCCATGCGAGGCGGTGTGCTATCCGGACGCGCCGATATTGGAAGGCCGTGGTGCCACTGTTCCCTAGGCGCAGTGCATATTCAGTAGCAGCTGTATTGTCAGATGATGATCTTCAGAAGTACACCAGTATTGGGCCTCGTAGTGCTCCATTGCGTGACAGTGGAGTTTCTCTTGAAAGTTGGGTCCCGCCTAAAGAGCCGTTTTGTGACCCCGGGGTTTACTGTGTTACTGAAGAGGGCGGTGCAGTTCTTGCAGCCTGGGCTGTTGCTGTTGATAACCGCGGGCGTCTGCGGCGCTGTGCAGCATCAGTTGACACTGTTTCCAAAGGGCAGGCTGAGGAAGAAACTTCCACCAAAAGAAAACGGTCGAAATTTCCAGAGAACTTGCCTGGGTCTTCCGCGGCGGATAGTGCTTGGGGAATGTTTCTAGGGGGATCGGCACACGTTGGATCTGAAGCGTTATTGACTTTGGAAAAGTGGTATGTACAGGTGGCAAATGAGCCTTTAACGGAGCAACATATTAGGAGCTTTACGCTGGGTAAGCCTTTTCGCATTGCTGAGCGTATAGAATAAGGCACTCTGGACCGAATGCTTGTTAAATGCCTGAGCTGTGCCTCCCAACGCTGCGCTGCGAACGCTCATTTGGCATTACACCATTTTGAGTGCGGCTAGTGTAGTCTCGTCTGGCCACAGGCTTGTGTCTAGCAGTTTCTGGCCTTCCCGCATCGTACTAGAGGCTTCATCGTTTGAATTATTTTAGTTGCTGTGTTTCGGATCCCTGATGCTTGGACAGTTTGGGGTTTGAAGTGCAATTCACGGTGAAAAGGAACTTTTTGTAGAGTGTAACGAGGTTCGGTGCTTTTCCACCGTAAAACATGAGTTGTCCTTGGTTTTGGGGTCTTTCCTTGTTGTCATCTGCAGCGGAGTACGCGTCCGTGTTTAGCGATTATGCAGAGTCGCTGGTGAACGCTTTGCGAAGACTTGTCGAGATGCGACATGGGTCGTCTTGTACAAACAAAGTTGCTGAAAGCTGTGGGTGCGACTGTGATATATGCGTTGGCCAGCCATGCCGCGTGAGATTAGCCTGGAGGCAGCATCTGATGGCTTTCGAGGTCGCTGTGGACAAAACTGCTGCGGAAGTGTCTCGTTCAGGTAAGCAGAGGGGACGGTGTTCTCTTCTGCAGAAGGATCATTTGTTACGTAAATTATTTTGCATGTGTGTTGCACAGAGGCCATTCTAGCTCGCAAGCCTTCACGTTTGGAATGAATGCGCAGATTCTTCTGGAGAGGAGGAGTCAGTTGTTCAGGGAACGCATGGAAGCGCGCGGAGCCGTCCAGTTGATGCTTCTCGGCACAACAAAGGTGGCTGGGAGTGGTGCCGCAAGTGCCAGTTTGGGTGTCGCATGCAGTTTCGCTTGATTCTTCACGAGCTGTATCAGCCAATGTCTTTGACGAAGTCAGGATTGCGCAGCGCGCTTTCCCAGTTGTTGATGAGGTTGCGGCGGTACGTAACATTGTCTCCTCTTGCCGTCAAATTCCTTATGCAACGCATACGAGATATACAGCTTTTGCCCGTCCGCGATGATGGTACGCGAGCTGCCTCTGTTGTTGAAGCAAGTGAATGGGAGGGAGATGAGGAGAACTTGCATTGTTACGATTGGGCAACTCGGGACTGGGCCCAAGCATGCTGGCAGCGGAGGCAACGTAGTAATAAAGCTGACATTGCTGACTCCGTGGTCACGAGCAGCGATCTCAACAGAAGCGTTGCAAGGCTTTCTATGCTCTCAGCGTCGCTGATGGATCCCCTCGCATCCGCTGTTACGGGCGGCAAGGAGCCAGCTCCTCCTGCCGATGACCGGGAGTTGTGCACTGGCGCGCATTGGTTAACAGAAGTGGAGAAACCAATGGTGAAGGCTGGCATCACAGCGGAAGAATTGCAGTCACTGGCTGGGGATGCATCACGACAGCATTGCGCCACTTCATTAGCTGGTCCCGAAGCTCGTTTATCACGAACCCCTGCAGCATCAGATCTTATGAGCCTTCATGATTACCAGGATGAAGGAGCCCGGAGCCCTCACTTTAGTTATCCTGTTTCGATTGCGTCATCTCAAGTTCCTTCTGCTTGCAGTACGCCTCCACGGCAGTCCAGCCGTCCCCGGCTAGGCCGGTTGTTTGCCTTGCCGCGAAGTGTCCAGATGCAGCAACAAGGGGGTGATGGGGCTCCTGGATGTATGCCATCGGGACCTTCACAGGAATGTGAACTCCACATTCACTGTGATGGGACAGGAAAGATGTCAAGAGGCCGATTCACTGAGAGTAAGATACAGGAACTATTAGTTGTTTTTCAATATTGAGCTTAAGGAAGAGATGCAGAAGTTTTTTCGTGAGACTTGTGATGTAGTTGGTTTCTGTGCATACAGAATAAGATATGTTTGCACAATATCTTCACGTGTCCAGCACCTGTTGTTTGTGGGGGCTCAGGAGATGAATGGTGCCGTCCAGGCAACGAGGCGGATCGTTTAGGAGGGGACGGATTGGATTCTTCTCCTAGAAGACTTCGTCGTATGCAGAGGGGCCGTTTAACTGCAGAGGGCCACCAGACAACATCGGGGCGCCGTGTGGAAATACCTCGAAGACTTGTGCCGCTAGTGCCGTGGTGGTGGGAAGACTACATAAAGACTGGGGCAGCTCAGAATGCACAAAATACGCGCTCTAAGAAAGAAAAAGGCGAAGAGGGCGCTTCTGACAGTTCGTCTGTAAATTCGACGATTTCACTGGAAGCGGCACCTCATCTCTTCCGGATTCCTTACGAAAGACTATCACCCCCGTCGCAGCCGGAGGCGAAGCTACGCCCTTGGCAGGATAGTGAATCGACTACGGGGGCTATGCTGGCACGGTTTTCTGAGGCTGTTGACAGCGGGAGTCGAGTCGAGGCACGAACTGGGTCACAACAGGGGGGCGGCTCGGCAGGAGGTCACAGTTTAGATCTATCTGTTGACTTAATTCATGCAGCTGCTGAGCTTGTCGACAGCATACAGAGCTGGCCAGTTGAATTTAGTGCCAACTCAACCAGCGCCCTTCATAAGCCATCTCGAAGCCGCGGCTTCGTGCCTCCAGAAGGGGGCGATGGACCAGTTGCGGAGTCTGCTACCCCAGGTTCTGAAGCAACAGCCGCGTTTACACCAGGAGGGAGAAAGGCGAAACAGATGAAGGGCAATGAAGCAAGCACATCACAAATGCTGGAGCCCAGCAGCAGTGGGGGCATGCTGACGTTCGTTTCGTCAGTTTTAGCTGCACCCACGGATAGCGATGTAGGCAGTCTCCGCGGATTTGAGTTGTTGCAAGGTGCGGTGCACGTTCTGTTCGGCTCCAGAAGCCTTTCATCAGGGCTGCTGCTGAAGGATTGGGAATTCTCATGTGCAACTTCTTCCGACCGTACGTCTATAAGCGTGCAAGCGTTTTTCAGTTTAAGCGGGAGGAACCACTGCGAAGCACAATCGTGCAGCCTAGGACAGCTCTTGTTTCTGCAGGCATTAAGCATCTTCCTTGGTCTGCCGAGTTTACTTGATTGCAGTTGCAGACCCTCGTCAAGGCTGTGGCAGTTTTGAGCTTTTTGCCGTTTCAGGAGGTCCTAAGGCTGCGAGCAGTGACTCTGTGGTGGAGTTAGACAAGCGTGGTGTTGCTGAGCCCGCATCAGAGTTTGCTGAGGGCAGCGGGCGTGCGCCGCCGCTGGATATCAATGCTAGCACTCCACTACTGCGCTCTCTTGCGGCATCATCAGCGCCCGCCGTCGATAGCACTCATGATCAGCTGCTGGTGGATGATTTTTACATGCGGCCGTTGCTGAAAGGGCCCTTGCCGCACAGGGATGCTTGTGATCCTTTCGACAGAGATTATACGGACGTCCAGATAAGATGTATGTATTCATTGGAGTCCGTAATTTACACCTACAACTGTGATGGCCATCCCTTGGTATACTGGTTAACGTAGGCGTTGTATGCTTTGCGAAAGCGTGGTAAGCCGCATTGAATAGCGACGCTGAGTACTTCTGTGGAAAACGTTTTTGTGACCTTTTATCGCAGTGAAACCTTTGAGAGCGTTTGGGCTTTGGCAAGAACGCCACGGCCGTCACAGGCGCCGCTCATGGAGGCACTCTCCGCAGAGTGCTGGAAGCTCACCACGTGGTAGTTCCCCAGCTCCACTTCGTTCGCAGGGAACAACTGGACTTAGTTTGAAAAAGCCTCTTCAAGGAAACGCAAGGTACGCTTGGCAATTGTATGTTAGCTCACCCAGTGGTGCAGTGGCATGGCCGATGTGCATTCATGTGCGAGTCTAAGCAGGGTGTCGTGTGTCATTTCGCAGAGGAAGGGGTTTGGGAGCAATGGGAGAACGGACGGGAACAGTTCGGATTGGAGGTAGACGTGTGGTTGTTAGGACAGTTGATGACGGGTCTGGATGGGCATCTCGGGAACCAAGCGCGGGAGTCCTCTCTGACTTCTCCGTTTCCCGGTGCAGCATGTCTGTAGACTCGAGCCTGTCCAGCAGAGGAGTAAGCGTTTGCAGCAGGGCCACAAGTAATGCAGGGTCAGTTTCAGATGCTTCTGTTCAAGGCGGTGGTACTCCACAGAGTCCCAGTGCCCATGAAGGTGCGCCACGGCATAGGAGAGGAAGAAGCCGGCCCCCTCCTGGTGGGCGAGGTTCCGGTGGTGGTAATTCTTCCGCTCCCACAGGTGTTTATCTTGATGTTGCACGGAGACTTTGGAGATGCCAGTGGAGAGAGAACGGCCGCTTCAAGACAAAGAGCTTCCCCCTCAATCAGTATAAAACACTGAAAGAAGCGCGACGGGCTTGTGTTGTGTTCCGATGCTTAATGGGGGGTTGGGAGGTACAGCCAGCATGGCTCGGCGACGATGAAGGGGCAGATATTGACACGTCAGGACAGCCGGAAAGCTTTAAAGATTCCACAACAGGCGAAGCTGGAAGTGGTGGTGCCAATCCAGCAGCCGTTGCTCCTTAATGCTATTGTGAAGCGTTGGTAGGCGATGATTGAATTTTCAACAGAAGACACTGTTCTAATATAGGCAATTCCCACTTTCTTTAAGTATTCAGGAAGCGACTAGCTGCGTAATGGTGTTTTTGCAGTGGATATTACTTCAAGCGGCATGTGCTCGTACTAAAAAGTGGTACCCTAGCATGTGCTTCTGATCTTCCTCGCATATTTGTTGCTGTGAAGGTCCGTAGTTTGCATGCACTACAGATTTGGAAACAAAGAAGTATTTTTCAAATCAAAAGCTCACGGAAAAAGCTCATCCGACACCTGCCTCGGTAGCGATGAATGCTTCGCAGATGCCCCAAATCGCTAACAAATCGACGCTGGGTAGTTTATCTACGGCCTTTTGGCTGGCGCGGCAGCGCGACGCGGAACCAGACCCACATATTGGATCATATGCTACAGTGTTCATTTCTACGAAGGAACTGCTGCGGTAAAACTGCGGGATCAGCGGTCCTCTCATCATAGAAAGCAAATGCGGCCACCATTACCGGAGACCGTGGAACAACAAAATGGAGTTCGCGTGACAGCACACGACTAGTAGGGACGGACATGACGGAGGATGGGATTCTTTGTAGGCCTGCTGACGTCAACAATTGTTGCCGTGTTTGAGCCTTCGGCGTCCCAGTCCACACCAGTAGCTGTCGGCGCGGATATGTTGCAGTTTAGTAGGTCTCGGAGCGCATCTGGTTCATGTTCAACAAACACACTTGAGTCCGCGAGATGCTCGGGCTCTTCACAACTCGTGGAAGCCACGGACACGAGACGGCTGCCTCCTGAAGAGTCAGCCCCTGCCCCGAGGAACACCATGCTGGTGGTGACCAAATGTGCGAGTTCAGGTGGGACCTCGGTGGCTTCGCAGTGATTCCTCTGAGATGGCAGGATACCCTCCTCGCAGTAAACTGGCTGTAACTGGCTTACAGTCTCTCCTTGGAGTGCTGCTGTAGACAGGGCGCAGGCGTGAGCCAAGAAGTCCACATAGGGCAAAATCCCAGTGTCAGCTGACTCTTGTGGCAATTCGGCTCTCGTCATAGAGGGAGCAGCTTCTCGCTCCTTCGCTTCGTATTCTGCCACCTGTGCTGCGGTAGTGCGTCGTTCTCCAGTATTTGGCGCAATCTGATTTCGCCTAGCAGCTGTTCGTAGGCGAGCTGTCCGCTGACGTCGAGTTGCCACACCAACCATCGCCTTTCGCTGAGCGTGCCAATCATCGTCTTCGTGAGAAGAGGGGACTGGTACAGGCTGGCGGTTAGTTACTGTGGCTGCCCGGCGTTGGTAGCGTCCTGCTACTTCCGCCTGTGGTGGCAGAGCCCTCAGGCCAGTAGCCAACGATGCTGCTATGCGCTCTTCTAGCGTCACTGAACATGATTCCAGGACTTGCTCTGCATACAAATTTAGATGTATCTCTCCAGTTATTGGGTCAAGCTCTCCTCCTTGTAAGAGGACGGCTGCACATTCCGGATTAGACTTTGCGAATACCTTTAGTCCCTCGACCAAATGAAAAGCTTCGTCTGCAAAGAGGGGCCACCCTTGGATCCGATTTCTCTCTTCAAGAGCCATCAATCGGGCTCCGAAAAAGCCGAAGCGGCTCACAGGGAAATGCTTCTGTACCTGCTTGTTCTGGTCATTCTTCCAGTAGGAGATCCAGCGGATTTGGTTGTGATCGAACGTAAGTCCCTGCACCCGCGGGGTGTTTCGAGCTAAGTTCTGGTAGACTTTGCGTTCGTGCAAAGGAAGTCCCCTGCCAATCCGTGTTGGTCTAGACTTGAGTTCCTGGTCAGCTGGCATAGCGGCTGCGGGAAGAGTGTCGGTGGCGGGACGGGGCCCATTTTCTTTAAGCGACATACTCGTTAGATGAAAATTGGCGTCTACGGCTTTGGCTTTTTTGAAAGGTACGCTTAGTGCCTGGCTTACACGTACAGTTCAGATGGGAAGTTGGGCGTAGAGGTGGGGTTTGAGGTTGATAGTACGTTCTCCTTGAGTATTCAGGTTTTGCTTTTAGTTCTTAAGTCGCTGTTAGAGGTACGTCTTTCGCGTAGCATATCTTAAGCAAAGACAGCGACGAGCACGAGGAAGGCAGTAGATGCTGCCAGCTGACGGAAGTCCTTGTGGCTGACGGCGACTGGGTCGGCTTGGAGAGTTGAGCTCAAGAGTAGTGTTAACGAAAAAAATCTAGGGACATACAGGAATATTGTTGAATTGACGTAAGGGTGCTGCAGTCACTGCCGACAGGCAGCTACGAGCAGCTGCCTCATCTCCAGTAGGCAGCAACAACGTTTCCGACCAGCCAGTACTGTAGCGCCTACTTCAGTACATCATGCGGAATCAGAATATAAGCACACTTAAAAAAACAATTGTCTTCAAGTAAGAGAAGCGTAGCATGCAGTCTGGCCCTGGTCCAACGATGGTCAAGCTAGCAGAGGCCGGCGGTGAGTGGAACTATGAGCCAAAGCCATGCGAATGAAGAAACCGGAAGGCTGGGTTGTAGCTGGATGTGAGGCCCTAATAACTGAATTTACTAGGTGAGACGCGTTCAAAGCAGCAGCATCCCCTCTAAATTCTTCCCATAGGTCCTTCAAACAACGATGGGGTCCATCTTCAGGAAAACGAAGACCGAGACCGCCTAGGCGCAGCGCAGCGCTGGAAGCCCACGATCGTTTAAAGTGCAGGCTGTTCAGTTTATATGCGTATCTCAAGTTAAAAGTCTATTCATTACATAGAGAAGAAAAGCGGGCCGAAGCCACAGAACATTGTCTCTGGCCATCCTACAGCACAGGCGACATGTGGCTGCGCTGTCACTGCTGAAGGTCAGTGTCGGCGATGTTAAATCTGTTGTAACCCAAATTACCATATAGAGTGCAACCTGAAAAAAAGAAAACACTTCAATTTTTAAGTGTCTTGCAACAATTGACCTAAGTCGGTCGAAATTGCTCAATGCTAGCCGACACCAGAACCTGTCCCACCGCCGCCACTGCCTCGCCTTGCCTCATTAAATGCCCCCTCTCTAGGTGACAGACCTCTGACAACATACGGCATACTCTTCACATTTAGATGTGAAAAATTTGGAGAGTCGGTAAAAATGTTTCGAGCGCTCCTAGCCACGGCAGCACGGAGACCTTGCACGATACTCCGCCCACGCTCGGACACAGAGCGACTGATAAATTAGCCGATCCTAACTCTACGGAAAGTTCTTGCTTGGCCTAATGAGCGAATTGCTCTATTCAAAGAACCCATAACGAGTACGAGAACCATTCGTTGGTGTGTGGGACCTACTGACACTTTAAGGGACATAGCTACAGGGGAGACAATGAAACCCAGAGAAACAAGACAGTGTTGGCTGGGTGTTTGTACGCTACTTGGAATTACCCGTTAGTGGTTGATATATGAGCATGCACGCAGTCCTCACAGAGTTACCAACGCGTAGTGTAGTTCCTCGCTTCCCACCATTGACTGAAGCTGCTCAGTTACACACCATCCGAGGAAGGCTACTGAAAAAGGAGGCAGAGGATTTTTGCTCACTGTACCTCTGTACCATGCTCCCTGGTGTGAGATAGTAGTTTAGGAGAAGCGCATGCAGAAAACCATGACTGGCAGTCTAGGCGCTTCGTTACGAAACTTTGCAGTACAGTAATGTGTGGTGCTTGATTTCAGTGCATTTGGGGCGTAAAATTAATACTGCAGTGTCATTTTAGACTGACACTTGTCGACGCTTTCTGACAGTTGCGAAATATAGCCATGCAATGAACGATTCGACGTGTTCGAGCAGCTGGTTCAACCCTGTCTGTGGGCCAGTGAAGCTACGGCTCTGGAAACATCGGCAGTGAAGGTTAGTTTTCTCGTGCATCGGCCCACAAAGATGAACTCGTTAGTCTCCGACAGCAAACAACCCACTTCCTGCGTGAGACAGAACCGTTGCACAAAGGAAGAATTGCAACTGGGCGAAGCAGGCGCACAACGGTTTATCACTGAGAAAAGTAGCCCAGCGTGCACTATAAGCCGCAGCCGCTACACATTGATGGGTGTCCACATCAGATTTTACTTTCTTCTGGCTTCTTGAATATTGCACTCAATAAAAAGATAGCTTGCGACTGCACTGTTTTGCCGCCGCGACGATGCCATGGTGCTGGTCCACGAGTCATTGAATATGTAAAAACACCCACATGAACTTGTACGAAGAGTGCTAATACTGCAAACAAGCCACTTCACGTCATTTCTACAAAAACATGGCGTCGCCAGCTACCAAGCACGCACCTGCGCAAAGGAGCCCTCAGTGCCAACAAGCACGTCGTAACAAATGTCCTGCAGAGAAAAATACGAACGCAAATGCTTCGCTTAATTCACATGGGAGGCACCGACGGCCTCGCAGCTCATCTTTCTTCGGCTTAGCAAACAACTGTATCCTATCTGCAGAGTGCACACCTCGCTTCGAAGCTTGTAAGCAGGTCCGAGGGCCACTGTTTTTCTCTGCGATGTATCTGTTTCCTCTGATGCCTCAGAGACAGCCTTTTCCTTCCTTTCAGCAGCGACTTCAGTAAGGAGCCGCAGGTGAACACGACCGCTGCGGCGAATCAGCAGTTGGCCGATACGACCGGACGGTAGGGCATGCAAAGGAGCCGGAGTGTTGCGTAAGCTGCTGCTGCCTGTTTTCACTTGCTTCTGTTCTTTTGTCGCTTGCTGGCCCTGTTTGCTCTCCGACTGCTGCGACTCTTGGGCCTGCATAGCTGAGATGTCCAAAGGCGGAAGAAGCCCCGGGAAACAAAGGTGAATAAACTCCCTAGAAAATCGCACGAAGCAGCAACGCAACAACACAACAGTCACAAAGCTCAGCGCACACAGCAGGAGCTGGAGGATCTGAGCTTGCGTCTCTAGAGAGGCCTTGCCTAGTTCTGAGTCTATGTGGCCCCTCAATATCAAATATGCCTGTGCAGTACACGTGGCTGTGGTCTACAATTCAAGCTAAGGAGGGTCGTGCGAGAAACGATACGGCCTGCTGTCTTCTTCCAACCACTGCCCGCTGTCTGTACTTGCAAAATGATTCTTCAGGAGCAGTGAAGCTGGAGATTCATCACTGTTGTCTACCACAACTGTTCGTTGCGGGCTCTCCTCTTTGGTGTCTGTCTGCCGGTCTGTGGGTTCTGTTCGCCCCAAATGGTTGGGCGTTGAAGCTGCAGTGTCTATGCCCTGTAGCTCGTCTTGCTGCTGGTGTTGGCTGCTGCTGTGCAGCATTTTGAAGCCGCCCTCCTCCTTAACTTCCTGCTGCTGTGGTTGCTCCTGTGGGCTTTGCACTTGCTGATTGAAAGGGACCGTGATGGGGAGCAGCAGGTGACCTTGCGAATCGTCGGCAGCCAGTTCGCTCAAGCTGATTGAACGGGGTCCTTTCTTGTTGAGCTTTGCATTGCTGTTTGCCCCGTGCAGCCCCATCGTCGGAAGCTGCATTGGCTGTTTGGCCATAGACTCGCACGGGCGCCTTCCATCAACCCCAAATTTGGACCGGTTCGGGCGGTCGTGGCCCTGCAGGTGACAGTGAAAATGACAAGAAAAAAAATGCACCGTTTCGTCGGGTAAAAGATTGTGTCCTCGGCGATGAGCTAGGAAAATATAGCTGGGGTTTTTCAAGCCGCCATTTGCCTGGGGAAACGGTACGCACTTGGGAAGAGGGTTGTTGACTGTGCAGAGAGCGCAGCAAAAGAGCGTCCACGCTGAATCCAGATGCGACGCTCGACGAAGTAGGTGCGGCTGTTGCTCCTGAAGTTGTCTCTTGCTTTACAGCTACGTTGGGCGTGAATTTAACGGGGACCCTGCTTGTGCTGCTGTCATTTACAGAGATTGAGGGCGCTAACGGGCGCGCAGACTGCTGTGTCACATGGTGCTGTGGCCTGAAAAGGCCAGGGCCCCTAGGGCCACGGAGAGACGCTGCTATTTGCTGTTGTTCATGCTGCCGCATGGAAGAAAAGCTGCGGACTCTCACTGAATGCACACCAGACAGCCAGCGAAAGCATTGCATGCGCGCCAAAGAAAGAAACAACCTCCGCAGCTATATACCACGTTTTTCGTCAAACAAACACAGATGTACGCGCACCACACATTTTTAAGATTCGTAAGCTTAATCCGTAGTGATTGGGGGTCTTCGGAGAGGGCTGTCCACGGGGTACTTACAGGGCTCCTTCTTAATGAGCGGTCGGTGTTGCGGAGTATTCCCGCTACCTTCCATTGTCTTCCGCACACAAGAAACACCGACTTATGGTCCTTGTTCAGGAGCAGAGCTGCGATACAGGCAACAACGAAGGATTTCGCTCGGAAACACTGAACACAAGAGCGGCTGGAGTCGGGCTGGCCCTTGAACTGCGGGAAAGAGTAAGTGAGAACTTCTGGATGAGCCACTTAGGAAATCTTCAGTTCTTGCTTATTGCTTTTTAAGCTTAGCGCAACGCTTACTATAGCAGTAGTAATATTTCATCCCCTGTGGGGCAGGTGCATGCACGCCGACAGAAGCCTCGAAAGCTGAAACTTACACGGAAATATGTGTTACATAGAGGTGTCCTGCTTTTGTAAATACCATATGATTCACAAACATATGTAGCATTATATTGGTCTCTTTCTTTTGCCCTAATGGCAACATTTCGCGCAGTTTATTCAATTGGCATCCAAAAACACACACACTCCACCGACCGCAGAAAGCCCCGATGGAGGGAGCACAACGCAGTTATAAATAGCAAAACCAAATATAGGTTTGAACTTAATATCGAAATCTCATCTATCGTCTCTCTTTTGGTGCTTAGTACGCTGGTTTCAGTCTGTCGTTTTGGGGACAAGACATGAACGTATGTACCCCGGGTGCCGGAGAGAAACCAACTGAAGGCGTTTGCGGCTTTCCTCTCTCTGTATCAGTCACGCTGTTTGCATCTCAGTTTACTTATTTGGGGACATGTACGGGGCCACTGGGTGTGAACCGCTTCCGTACCGTGGGCAGCCACACAGGACAGCGTGAGGTCGCATCACGAACGCCATCACTGGGCACTTCGTTTTGAGTATATAATTGCTAAGATGCAGGGCCTCAAGAAGCTCACCAAAGATAAAATCGGGCCTTCCACTCAACCATCATCGACGCGCGATGTGGGCAGCAGGCTGAGTCAAACCATAAGGGCGCCAACGTAGAATTAAACTTCCGCGGAAGCCTGCCCGCGTCACTACTCAGCTTGGAGTTCTGCTTCCCAGGTTTTTCCTTCTACTCTTGAAGCAGAAGCAGAAAATATAATGAATCCTTACTCTATGCATGCTTGTGAATTTTTTACGTCGATCAGAGGACTGCTTTTCCAGCTGCGCAAATCGACTCACTGTTTTGGAATGCGAACGCAGAAACGACAACAGGAATACTGCATAGACTATGAAGCATATCGCCACTTCGCCTTTTTTGCCGGCCTTTTGCTGCATTCAAATGCACCGACGCCCACGAGTGCCGTTGAACTCGTCAAATGGTACAACACATACGGCGCAATTGATTTCGTATACAGGATGCGCAGTAGCATAGTGCCTAGTTTCGGGAGAGATTCAGGGTTTATTCACAGCGGTGTTGAGGTGTTGTTGCACTGTGCTTTGCCCTAGCGGGACTTGGGTCTCTCAAGGGTGGAGGCATGGGGCATGGTTTTAGAGGACACTGTTTAAGTTGTCCATGACTGTTTATATCGTGAAGAGTATCTGTATGACTCGTACGGAGTGGCTTCGATGCATTTTTGTGCAGGTATCTGACGCAGAAGGCCTACTGCGTACCGAGAGTACGTGAGCGCAAGCTGAGCACTGCATAAGCATAGGGATGTGTACCTTGGCCGTGCCTTGTAGTTTTGGGCGGATGGCGTAGGACTGAAAATTTGTGGAATTTTACGGCGTAGGTTCTCATTGTATGCCGACATGTTTGTAGCCCACGTAGGTGTTTCATCGCAGGGGTGGCCGGGTCTTTATTGTTCCTTTTGTTCAGGACCTGTCCCGGCCTCTTGTCCCACGTGTTTACACGACTTTAGTTCACAACCTAATCCTGGATTCATGCGTCGAGGTGATTCATGTTACACTGCCTGTTTTTGGACACAATGTAGTGCAACTAGTGGGGCGGTTGCTCAGAATGGGACATGCAGCGTCTTCTTTGTTTGGTGCATGCCATGCATGCCTTTAAAACTGTGCCCGTGAGAGGCAGGCCGGGTGCATTCAAAGCCCGCGGACAAACATACACCAAATCTATACCCCGGTCCACATCGTGCTCATTGTAAAGTATGCCTCACATGCAAGGCTTCCTGTGAAAAGAGGACGCTAGAAAAGTGAGAATACTGTTCCTGGCCGTAAGAGTTCGTCACCGTGTGCTCCCACATTACCTCAGGTCGTACAAAACTCCACGAATGGTCTCCAGCTTCTGCCGAACAAGTTCTTTTTGCTGTGGGCGTGGCGGGACTTCGCACTCGATTTCGACGTCAGGATGAGAGCCACCCCCTTCTGACATTCTAAAGCGGCAGTCTACTTGCAGGCGCGTTTTTCACATTTGCCTTGCGTCCGAATTCAAAACGACAGCAGTGAGACTTCCACGCTGGAGAGTTGAGTTCATTAATCACAAACAGAGTGCCGATTAGGTACGTCAGTCAACCGTGTAAAGCCAGGATCCTGCTGGCTGTAGCATCCGCCTGCTGACGAAGTGCTTGCACCCACATGTTCCGCGTCGGCTTCGTGAAAAAATAGTTCAATAGGTGTTCCCAACAAAAATTACGCCCATGAGCACGAGTGCAGCGGCATCTGCAGGGAAGCAATCTAACCCTTTTGGACTTCGGACATTTGGAATAATCATCAGTTTTTGCTGAAGCCGACCAGGCACCTTTTGGCGATCACCGGGTGTTCGGGTGCAAATGGCGCACAGGCAAACAGCCGAAAATTCTAGAGCACTCTTACCGAGTTCGGTCAGTCCTAGCTGTGTCTTCGAAACAATGCCACGCGACTAGTGGCGTAAACGAGGCAGACTGATTGAGCACACTACTGGTTCATTGCTGCTTGATTCCTGCCCCATTGAATGGTTTCGCGATGCAGCCTGGCTACTGCCTTCGATGACTCTAGCAGGTTCCGGTGCTGCGGAGCGCGCGTATTGCAGCACCTAATGGTTGTGCTCTACACATTTAGTGCCTATTCAGCGCTGCAATACTTGCGGTCACGTTCCATTCAACGGGCGTGCAAACCACAAGCAGCAACCGAACCTTCTAGAATCCTGGAGCTGAGCAGCCAAACAGCAGCGCGCTGGACTGCATCGGCAAGCACTTCCACGATGCTCTTTAGAGGCATTGATGAGTGACATACAAAGAAACTGCACCCTAGTATTCTGAGGCCCAAGGCTCTGAAAGCTGCATTCAAGGAACGTGCATGTGGTTGGCACCGCTTGGCTCTGTTATATCCTCCCGTTGTTGAGGCACAGGCCACAAGCACAACGACGAATATTGGATAGGCTGGGTTCTTCCTCAACTGTGAAGATGATTCGTGATGCAAAGAGACTCACTTATCAAGCATGCCCTCCACATCCGGTGCTAGGGTACGAACCTTTAGCAGATCTCGTCCGCCCAACATAGGGGCTTAACGCGGCACAGGCGGAACCCTAATTTATGCTACAGAGAATATCCAAGTAAAGTACTATTCCTTTCAAAACAGTAAAGCTCTGGTTTTGAACAGTGTTCCCCGACACCACCATTTACTCTACCCATTCCTAGTTCTGCACTACTCATTCGCGGAATAATTCCCAAGGATTGCAGCTTTGGTGATGAAAGTGTCAAAAATCACTCTAAAATGACAGTATCAGGGAGCTTCATTTTCTGTTATATAGTGCACCCAGCGCAGCGCCAACAATAATATGGAAGAAGCGCCCACAGCGATTTGAAGAACGAGAGATGGTAGCCAATTAAAGCGACACCACGCGGCATCACTTCCTGTGCTTTTTCTTTTCCTTTTTCTCCTTCTGTTAAAGAGGCCGCACATGGCAAACAGCAGAAACAATGCCATTCCATCGGATCAAACACGTGCTTTAGGAGGGCATGCGTGAATAGGAACAGTACGAATTGCCTACCAGGTACATCACTGCAGCTCACGCTTTTTACAACAGACGAAAATCTGACGCAATAGTAGTGATCAATGCTACAATGAACGCTGCCTTTGCGTAGGCAACTGTGCTTATACGGAATGTAACCGTTTACACCCTCACTTTGTGTTTGTGTTTCCGTTTTTTCTCCTTTTCGCCGTCCTCATTTGACTCCGCAGCACTGGCTTCGCTTTGTTCGTCGTCCTCCTCTTCTTCAAAGTCTTCGTCTGCAAACGTGTGCCATGAGGCACCTGCTTGTAGGCGTTATAGCAGTCTCTACACACCACGCGGCTTATACCCATTGCGCATTGCCATTCAGTAGCTGAATGCAATGAACTGCGTTCATATAATTTAAAATAATGCGACTAAAACACAGAGAATCACTTCCAGCTACTTCTCAGGAGGACTAAGTTGTAACCGCACCAGTTTCGGACTCTTCTCCACCATAATCGTCATCGTCTTCATCTGTTTGAATTTCTGCTTCCTGCAGGCCACCAGTCCTTGGTGCATTTCCTTTTTCGACGTTCTTGATGCGAATTCCTTTTTGCGTCAGGAATTCAACTAAGGGCTGTGACCACACAGCGGAACGTAGCATACATCCTAGCAAAGGCACGATTAAGCGCACCTACGGCGACTACTAAATCAGAGACACAACAATTCGTTGCGAAATAAAACCACAGGCTTACGCTGTACTCGTTGCGGTCAATGGAAGTAAACTCGTGCTCCACCCCTCCACGGCAAGAAACTGTGAATGCAAAGAAACGATTGGTCGTGCTGGCGCCGGTGCGGCTAAATTCTACACTGACCACATCTTCAAATCTGAAGGGAACGCACTCACGTCACATGGAAGATGCGGTAGTTTGGCGCGAAATAAGTAAGAGGATGCATGCTTTGCAGGTCACCAGCACAATACAGCGATTAAAAGCCAAGCTGCACACCTGACAAATATAACAGGTTTGACGATGAACAAAAAAGATCGATTAAGTGGATACAAATGGCCGCTTTGTGCTCGGTAGCTGCAAGTTATTCCATATTGGTTCTTGACGCTCTTGAAATCTCCAGGGACAATTACGCTCTTCCCGATTAGGGACTTCAAAATGCGCGTAATTACATCGAACGTTTTTCCTGAAGGGAAGAGCGACAACAATGGGCTGCAGGCGAACGGTAAGAGGGAAAAAACGAACCACTCTGCGCGTACTTTGTACCGTCGAGGGCCTGCTCAAGATGCACATATATTACGAAGTACTAGTAAATACCCTCTAGCTGCTTTTCGAGTCCCTTCTCCTTTAGCTCCGCCTCCTCCAGATTCACTTCAGCCGAAGTTACGTTCTCGCTGTCAAACTGCATCACGACGAAGGGGTAAGATGTCTGTCCTTGTCTCATAGCATTATCCAAAGACAGAATGAAGTTGACGTGCGGAGAATTCGGACGAGGCACGAGGAACATTCTGACAGTCACACCTCATAACAAAAAGGGATAGACTCAACAGAGGGCCAACAAAGTGAACAACTAAGCAAAGCATGGATATATTTCAAGTGAATACTCCTACGCGAAGGCATTTCTATGCGCGTATACACACAAGCAAAACGTACCTGTTGATGTTCGTGTAGAGAATTGTGTAGTCGTACGACTTCCCATGAAACTTCAATGCACGGCGACCGATGTCGATTTCATAGCGTCCCCTTGGCACCAACAGAGGCACATCGTTCAGAAGAGCAATGCTTTCCATCTTCGTTTCAGCGACGCCGCTTTTCTTCACAAGCTTCTGCAGATCAGGCACCACCGATCCAGGGGCAGATACTGCATTTGAGACGCACTAAAACCTTTGTTCACTGGAACCTCAACAGGAAAGAACAAGGTGGTATCTGTTTGTATCTCCTTCACGCAGCACATTATACAAACAAAACAGGAAGGACCATAAAGTGTGCAGCATACAGAAAGGCTAAAACGAACCTCCTTCAGGTTCTGAAGATGGCTGTCCGTTTCCTCATCGCCCGTCGCCGGCTGGAACAGCCGAATCTCTAAAAGCATATCTTCTGATTGATCCCTTGAAAAGTAACACACGAAGTTAACCAAGTAAAGACAGAGTAAGGCAAAACAAAGCATATTAGCCGCAGTAAGGGGAAGGCCTGACGGCTACACGACGGGGAGAAGGCAGCATTGGACACACGCCGCTCATGCGCTGCCTTAAGGCGCTCATTTTTTTAATATTTGTACTACCCTTCAATGCCGCTACTGAAGACGCGCTGATTCGGAGGGATTAGTGAACTTATCATGGCTATGTAACGGATGAAATGCCCTCAAGCAGAAGAGATATTTCTCCCCAAACACCGTACTCACCTCGTGTCATCTTGCACAAGCTCAATAGCCAAGTCATTTTTTGATGGTGTCGTAACCTGGGCAATGTCTTGAGCATTTACTTCAAATGCGGGGCAGCCGTTCACTGAAACATTCAAATTGTTTCCTATGAACCAAAAGGCGCAGCGTCACCCAAAAGCATTTCCCTAACCTTAGGTAACAAAGCCTCCATTTGAATTGCTTCCGTAAGGCTCTAGTTCGGCTGTACCTAGTCCGTCAAAAGTAAAAGCATAAAAGAGAACCGCAGCATACCATCCATGGAAACATCGCCCCAGTGCCAGCCCAAATGCGCTATGTTTTTGGTCTGCAGTTGGAGCTTAAAGTGATCAGAAAAGTGCCGACGGATGTCCTCATAGTTCTGCGGAAACCGGAAGCACCAAAAACGGTAAAAACACTGAATACCAGCGCTACTGCTGCCCCTGGGCTCCAGCAGTTTTACTTAATGGAAAGTGACGAATCAAACGGCGCCAGGGTAAAAGATAAACCCATGGCTGCATGCTGTTCTGAAAAATCACATCTGGCGTCCTTGACCTACCTTTTTGTGAAAACCATCAAAGATGACGATGCTGTCATTTCTGTGAGGACCGAGGACGATCTTGAGTTGATACTGGTCAGCCCCACAGTGTATCCACTGTGCGTCTGCAACATCTGAGCTTTTGTACTGATAAACTTTCCCATTCCTCCTATTTTTCCATCCGAAAATCTCCCCACTCATTTTAAAGAGGCCCTATGGGGTACGCCTCACGTAAACACAGCCAAAAACCTTGAATTGAAAACAGGTGCTACTTCTTCAGGAGTCATGATATATAGAGAATATGTAGGGACATTTTTAGCTCCCAAAGTGCCATACGCGCAATATGTACTAATTGGATAACGCCCAAGCAAGCACAGCAACTTACGGGGTCGTTCCTTCCCAAGCCGCGAATGTTTGCTACCGAGACGACCGGGCCACCAGGGCCGGCCGGCGGAGCGCCTTGAGACATTTCTGTTTGTTGTCTGGATTCTGCACTGTATGAGGCTTTGTTGAGCTAGAACGCGGGGAGCCTTGTTCCCACACAATCGAGGGCCGCACGGAGGCTGCCCGCAGACGCGGGGAATAACAACTGCAATATTTGAACCCACCAATAAACAAGAGCTCGAGAACAAGTGGGCGCCACCGCTTATGTGTTTAGACAGAAGGATTCGAAGGGGGTGATATATGCTCCGATTGTTGGGGCTTAATGCATGCAAGAAGGTGGTTAGGAAAGTGGGATTGCACACACAACCCAAATTACGGGGCAAATAAAAACTTCATTGTGTTATGCAGTCCTAAAATTCAAACAAAGTACTGTCTTGTTAGGGTGTGCTTTATTCTAATCATTTGGCAAGTGTTTGCTCTGCGTAGCTCATTTCCTGATAAGACAGCGGGCTGTAGCCGCAAGATTTCGCTCGGCAGTGCATTGCGCTCGCCAAAGCGTTGAAATATTATGATTTCACGAAATTACACATGTCCATGAATGCAATGGGAACCCGCTGCTAGAATTTGTTCCTCAAAAAAGTGCTGATTTTCATGGACGAAACGTCCAAAATGAGTACTGCGTGGTAAAGCTATGCGGAACCAGTATATCTAGTTCCGATGCAAAGACAAAGTACAAGCAATTGTGGAGTAAGTAAATGCTGCCTAGGCAGTAGACAGCAGAAATATGGCTGATAGCTTTGTGCAGGCACACACGGAAGGAGGAGGGAGGGGTAAAAGGGTCATAAAGTGCTCTAAAGTGCTCTAGATGCCCTTTCATCACCAGTGAGAGCTAGGCATATCTCTTTTCGTAGTTCTGTGTTCTGCTTTAATGCATATATATATATATATATATATATATATATATATTGAAAGCTGCCCTTTCTGAGGTCGGCACTGATGCAGAGGACCACGACTTCGGTGGTAACTGCTGCCGTCAAGAACCACCAACACTGTTGCGATCAAGATCTTGTTTAGGTTAATGAAGCAGTTCTCTATGGTCCAACAATAAATTATATAACAGATTCATACTGAACCCCCAAAAGGCCCAAAGGGACTGTTCTTCTGGCGAAATGCTGGCCCTCCTATTAAACCTGTTTGGTCCTACGCCCTAGTTCCTCTTAACTATAGGCACCAACATGAGATTTCTCTGGCCACAGGAGAGCAGCATACTTAATTTCAAGCTGAATCGCGAAGCATGTAACCCGCATATTCATTCACCTTTAGCGTAATCCTGGAAAAGGCTGCTGACTCTTCTAGCACTTTGCGTCATCTGCAATTGTGCTGCACTTATTTGGCGATATGAGTGGACGAAGATATACATAGTTTATTCGTTGCACATGGCAGTACAACTCTTCCGGCTAGGCGAGATTGAGTTCGACTTTTCGCCGTTCTGCGCTTTTCCTCTGCTCTGCACCCAAAAGCAGGGGGCTGGTTAGCGAAGTTTACTCCACCTCAAGGTTGCTTTGATAAGCAAAGTAAAAGAGCTCCAACGCAGCCTTCAGGTTAGTGGTGAACATGTTTTGGCTGTTTTCCCTTAGAAGATTTTCCTGGGGCCCTGTAGGGTACAGGTGAGCCTTCATTGGCGATGAATGCAAATTCATAACGCAGGCATAGTAGTTGTCACAGCATCTTAATTTTTTTAAAGGCTTCTTGTGCTGGCATACGCTAGACTGTTAGCCTAGTAGCCGTGTACCTTCATTTCTACGCCTATGCCTTCTCCGATGTGCATTTATTTTCATACTCTGAGCACGGATATGATGGAAAAAGGCTTCCAAATTGCATAGGGGCAAAATGCATCTGCAGGCCCTTATATACGGCTCTAGCTTTTGACCCTGTGCATGAATACTAGTACTCACTGACGCTGTTTTTTCCGCCTGCTGCGTCCAGTGGCACTCTCAAAGACAAAAATACACAGTGAAATGATTCCCTGAATGATTTCATTACCAGGCAGCTTCAGCCGATTAGGGGTTCTCGGCTTTTTAGTCAGTAGGTAGTTGGTGTAGTGAGCTTGTAGTGCGCAGCAGTACAATGTTGCACCAGTACAATCCCAAAAGACTGTAACACTTAATAATCTACACGTGAATCATTCTCTGAAAGTTTGTAGCTGGAGAAGCCTAGCTCTTGGAGCAGGCGTAGCCTAGGGAGCGTGCGTGGCTGGAAAGCCAAGGATTGGGGCTGGCTGTGCCACCGGTGCAGCGTGCAGGGACACAACCATACCGGGGGAAACTTAGGGTCTCCTATTCAACTCTCCTTCTCTTCTGGTCTCAGAGAAACTAGGGGAGAAGCAGATTTAAATACTTCGCCCTTTAAGGGTCTATTTGGGCTTCTTGACCTATTGGGTTTCAAAGTACTTATGCAACGAGAAGGGAAACCATTTAGGAGTGAGGCAAGGAGGCGCTCACTACAGAGCTAACCCCAGCTCAGCTCCTACCGGTTTCTGCCAATCTGGCTAAATAGACTCACATGTATATCAATACTGAGTAGACACTGCCTACGCATTAGAAGAGTCCAAACAACATCGATGAATATCCATTTTTGTCAGAGAAAAGCTGCCTCTACCAGGAGCCCTTTTCCACTGCGTCTGAGTGTGCTGCGCACTGCAGGATGAATTCCTCTTGCCAGCCCCGAACCGTGGACCTAAATGCAGAGCACGCTAAGCCTGATCGCTGGAGTACGAAGTGCTTTTGCGTGGCAATTATTTATACTAATTACGCCACTCAAAATACTACGAATTATGTATCCCTGAAGGCAACTCCTGGACTACATTTTAGTGCTGCGCACTTGCTGCTCGCTGCGCGAACTCTAAGTGAGTTCGCGCAGCGAGCAGCAAGCACCACAGTGCAACACAGAAACAGCCTTCAAAGGCTCTACACTACGAAGTAAAAAGGCAAAAGTCTAATAGAAAATTTTCCCGGCAAAGAAGCTCACTGGTCGAACAAGCCAAGCCTTGTGTCCTCTTCAGTTATTCAAGGGCTTGAGTCTAGCAGTGTGAATGACGCTACCAGCAGTCAGATGCATACAATGAGATACAGAGAAGAAATTTCCCTTTAAAATGGCCCTTAGTTCTACAGGAATGACGTTTTAAATTTTCAAATTACGATTCAACGGAATACAGCCAAGAGTGAATAGTTTTCTGTATGGAATACTAATTGGGAACCGAGTTGGGCTTAGGTTTCCACAGCTGGCTGTGATGTCTAAACAGGAACCTGAACTCGCTCCATAGCTCTCTTCCGTGCACACTGAACCCTCTGGTGGGCTTTTGCTGCCGTGTCTTTCGTAGCGGAAAGTATGGCTTCATCAACTTGCCTTTTCCATAGACATTAAATCAATGGCTCGGCGTTGGCACTAAGGCTGACTGCTCGGTGCCGCACCGAAGCCAAGAGAAGGATCTTCACCGGCCAGCATGCTATGACTTTCTTAAAACCTGCTATTTCGATATGATCTCCCTGATCACGAATCCACGGGCACTTTGTGGGACTTTCTTCGCCTGCTACTCACGTCTGCAGAACGGGTTGTTCTGAGTCTTAATGCGGCGCTTGTTGGGAATTTCATTGCAGTTTCGGCTAATTATGAAGACCGCTAAGGGGTTTGTGGGAATCCGGGCTTCGTTCTGTTGAGGCATAAATATTACGTCTGGAAGCTCGTCAAAGCTACTTGTTCACAGTCAATGTTTTGAGTCTGCTCGTGGAATCTGCTGCCCCTGTCGGTGCTCTGAATTTGAAAATTCTATTTCATAGTGTGGCAAACATTTGCACAATTTGAATGTTTGAATATATGAGCCAGGAGATGTCACACAGAGAAGCTTTGGGTAGCCTCTAATAATTGTGCTGACTGCAATAATGCAAAATGCACGCATGCAAAACGCAGAAACTTGTGAGAAAAGCATGAGCGAACTCAAGAAATTACGGCTTGCAGGAAGGACAATGTATCACTTGCATGGGATACATTTAAAGGCCTTTTTGTTCCTCGTGGAGGAGATGCGATTTCGGATGATAAGTGGGCAGAGGGGAAACTCATGTCCACAGCCACCCTCCCGCAAATAAGGTTTGATGCCACTGGTAGTGAAACAACGTGAAGTAATGAGCAACAATGCGGAGCACACGGGCTGGCTGCTAATGCCAAATAAGTTTCGAGGGCTAGAGGGTTAAACTAGTGCATTCATTGGAGCTTAGGAATGAGCCGCAGCACTCCGTTGCTGCAACAGTTTGCACTGGTTATTCGGCTACTATTCAGAAGCTGCGTCAAATCAAGTATGAAGAGCCCCTGCAGGAGTTACGTGAATTGAGTGCAGGACCAGAAGATTGTTCAGACCCACCAGATGCAGAACTACTAGAAAGAATTGCAGTTTACCGTCAAAGGGAGAATCCTACGATGGGGTGTGAGCTGCACATAAGCTGAAGTACAGTTGCTGCTCGATGCAACTGAGGGACGCTCTGTATGGACAATAAATTGTGGGGCATAAGTAAGTAGCTGACTGATATGGGAAAACTCATGGAGGAGTAAAAATTGACCTTTTCAGTAAATAATATTGTTGCCTTGATCGGTAGACTCACAAATTACCGAAAGCTAGATCTTACACAACTACAATCAGTTAATACGGAACAAGGGGGCAAGGGGGCAGTTCACACCGCCATTCACGCATTAAGCCATGGACCGTCCAAATAAGGAAGAGGCAGCAATTCGCGCTGATAGTTAGTTAGTTAGTACATGTGGTGGATTGGACCATTGGGCCTGCTCAAGTTCTGCACGGGGAAATGAGGTAGAGGAACAGCGAACTGCACACGCCAGACTGTCCTATTTCAAGCGAAGAAATGACAAAGCCCAGGGAGTGGCATGGTGCGCACACGTTGGCGTCAGGGCGATCACATGCTGAGGCGGCATGTTTGCTGATGGTGGCTGACGATTCAGCACTGCCGATGCAGTTACCAGAGCCCTCACAAGTAACAGGATTTATATCTTTTCTTTTACCACTGTGTAACGGAGTTCAAATTGTTGGAGCCCAGACGAAATTCGGTGATGACGATCAGAAGCGTTGTAGCCTGAACTCAGCCAACAGGAGTACTTCTGCTCACAAAGATCCTGAGGCGCTCAAATGATTCTGCTGCACTAGTTACAGCCCAAGCCTTACACTGAAGAGCTCACTATTTCGAAGTGCCCTAAAACATTATTGTCCCAAAGAACCTAATCAGTATGCAAAGGCTCCGGTTTTTATTACTTCCTAATTATCAACACAGCTACCTATGTTCACTGCTCATGCCTTGCGTCTCACGTCGTAGCTTGCTGTTCCTGACTAGAGGTTTTTCGTCTCAGCTTGACGCTATTTTCTATCAAAAGCTAGAAATCGTGAAGAACTTCGCGTGCAATGCTTTCTCGTGAACCACAGTGCAGTCTTACTTGAAGAACAGTGCAATCTCCCATTTGCTGGAGGCGCGTCTCCCTATAAAGCAATTCTGTGGTTCGCTAGCGCTTCTTCTAAAATCTCTGTTGCAGCGCCTATGTGCTTGCTTCCATGAGAAGGCTACTTAACATGCCAACGTGCATTAATGGCAGATAAGCAAGCTGATCCGCTTGCGGTTTACGTCCAAAAGCACTGCCTTTTAATGGTACAAAAATACTGTGCTGCAAGCCTTCGTACACTTTCATAAAGTTTCAAAGCATCCAAAACAACGAACTAAACGATGTTCGTAAAACAGATGGTAATGACCGCAGTACGTATGGGGGATGTTTGGTGTTTGCCCTAATGAACAGCCTAACTGAGCAAAGAAGCCGAAACTTTGGGCAGGGCTAAAAGAACGTTATCCTGGGAAGCCTTAATAAGGGGTTTCCTTCTTTCTGTCAGTCCACAGTTGACAATCCCGCTGTTTTCACGTTATTATAAAGCAAATGGGATTGTGTCCGTTTCGCCGCTGGGAACCAGGAATCATGTGTGTATAGGTCGCTTCATGTTTTTCGATAAAGAACATGATTTTGCAGATTGCACATCAATATTTTTGTTAATCTGAAGCGCGCTTAACTCTTGGCTGGTGAACAACCAGCCACAAAATCGCCGCCCACTAGTAGAAACGCCTGCTTTCCGTTCTTGTGGCTCAGTGTACTATTACCCAAATTAGCAGAATTCGAAATCAGTTAGGAAGTGGCAATGTATTGGCAAATGCATTGAGGACTACGATGTGACTGCGCCCTAAGCATTTCCAGAAGTGAGGAATTTCTGGCGTCGAACCACCAACACGTCGTCTCCAATGCAATTCAGGGAGGTGTGAGAGCAGCCGTTGATGAGTATGGAAGTAGCTGGATTAGCCATTTACTAAGCACTGCCGAAAACTTTCGGTTGTGCCGCTACTTGTAGAGACGCGTACTGATCTTGCTCAGCTAGGGTCACTGTCAAAACTACTCGGGCTGCAACTAGAAAACACACACAAAATTTTACTTGGAGTTGAGAAAATGAATGAATTCAACGTCGATAGTACTTACTACAGAGGCAGCGATATATGTTTGTTTCTGCCGCTGCTTCTCGGCTCGACCCGCTATTTAACCTTGAGTGTGCTCCCAAGTTGAATTGCGTGCCGGAGCTTGCTCATTCAATGAGAGAGCCGAGGCAGCAGAACATAAAAAGTTGGACGCAGCACTGCGTGGCGCAGTGCACACCCTTGTTTTGCGAACCAACACCGGCGTTCCTGCGTACCACCAGACTTGCCACAGTCCATGTGGCTAGTCATTTTTTACTCTTGGCAGCGCCAGTTGCACAGACGACCGCAGACTACCACTTGCTCGCATGAATCAGCCTGGGCTGTATGGGGTACACATCAGCTGCATTTCTCGTAACTGTTGCTGGCCAGGCCCAGTTCAGAGAATGGAACCAAGCCTCACTTATAGTGTCGGATGTGCTTCTCTGAAATTTTTGCTTGTTTAGAGCAGTAGTAATGAGCACATGGTTGAATACACCGGTTCTTAGGTTGTTTTGCTAGAGAGGTCACCGCGCCCGCAGCAACGTGGCGTCATGAGTCCCCTGCTTCCCGTAGACATGATGGGTGCTAATGCTGGCAAGCTCTGCCTAATGCATATTCCGGCGAGTCCTTGGCACATCTTTGGTATTCATTTTTTGTTTTTATATTAGGAGACCTTTCATTAAAGGCTCAAACTCTTCGCGGCCGCAGCCTGCATGCATTGGAGGTACTACCCTCGGAACGCTCACGGTATATAATTCCCTTATTTATGTATTCCGATCTCCACGGCAGTTGTGTGCGTTTCCATGAGACCCGCAGGACAACAGCTAGCTAGGACGGCGGGCCCCTAGGCCAACCCACGAGGGAACCGCCCGCCCTTGCCCCGTCCCTCCCCCTTACGGGAGGGAAAAAGGGGGTGTCCCGGAGGTTCTCTGGGGCGCGGAGAATGTATCAAATGTGAAGATGAAGCGGTCTCTCCACTCGGTCGACGTAGCCGCGGCCTCAGCTGCAACACCGCCCCCGCCCCAGCCAGCAGTACTGCCATTCCCAGGGAGTTTGGTGTCCATTAACCCGGGTTCTCTGGGTCCCCTACGAAACCAGCTGTACCCTCTAAGGGCCCCAGGGAGATGCGACGGAGAAACACGGAGCGGCTTGGTGTCGCCGCTCACCGTGGGGGCCCCTCGGACACACAGCCATGTAGGACCACACAAACATTCACGGGACAAAGGGCCCCCTCCGGGCGTCGAAGTTATATCTGTCGATGACGACGATGACGAGATGCCTCCAGTCCCTGCTTCCGCCTCAATGACTCGGTGCGTTCCTGGGGCATGTCAGGACCTCAATGGCAGCAGCACCATCAGCAGCGGCGCCAGCAGCAGCAACAAAGCCAGCAGCAGCGCTTGCAACAGCGGCGCGTATAGCAGCATAGTAAGTAGCGGGAGCAGGAACAACAGCGGAAGCAAGAGCGGCAGGAGCGAAGGCGGCGCCAGCAGCAGCTCGAGCAGCAGCTTGGGCAGCAGCGACAGCAGCAGCCGGGACCAAGTGGCAGCAAGGAGCACGGCAAACTGTTCCGCAGGGGCCAGGGTTGTGGAAGTTTCCCGAGGCGAAGCCTCAGCTCAGGAAGCGGGCCAGCCCTCTACAGAGCCTTCCAATAGCGCCTTCACCCCAAAGGCCTTCATCGGGTCGCACAGCAAGAGCCTGTGGATCCAAGGGCGGCAGCGGCCAGAGCAGGTTGACAAGCACATTTCGGACTTGCGCACTAAAGTCGCAGTGGGGAAGGTCACGCTGCGGGGTACAGTGTTTCCGTCCACTGCAACAGCAGCAGCGTTCATGAAGGCTGTTTCCCAGACAGCCAGGGTTACCTCTTTCTCCATTAGTGCCCCGGAGATGCCTCAGGAGCAGTTTGCTGCCGTTTGCGAAGGGCTCGGCAGCTGCGTCTACCTGAACCACGTTGACTGCAACTCAATAGGCAACAAGCCCCTAAGCCCTGCTGCGCTGCAGCTGCTGCTGCAGCAGCTGCAGCTGTTACCCGACTTGCGAGAGGTCAACCTTTCGGGTAACGAGTTCGCCTCTCCAGGGGCCCCGGTTTCCTCTCAGAGCCCGTCATCGTGGGGGCCGTGGGGCCCCCTCCTAGACGGAGCTGAACTCCTCAAGGGCCTTCTACGAAGTGGCGTGCTCTGCTTGCTGGCGAGAGAATGCGGTCTTCGCCAGCTGCGTCAGTTCCTATTGTGGGTGCTCAACCGCTGCCACTGCCTGCGCCTGAGGCAGCTGGACTTGGGCGCGTCATCCAAGCTGCTCACGACGTTGGTTCCCGGCGAGACCTTCGACGAAGAGGTGAACAACCACAGAGGAGGCTCCACTTGGGGGCTCCCTAGAAGCCTCTGAGCGCTTTGCTGCTTCTATAGTTGGCCTTTAAGCTCCGGGCTGACTTCAGTTCGCTCTTTTTCTTGATGTATTCTGTCTCAAGAGGTCTTGAGCGGCGTCGCTGCTGCTGTGCTGTTGCTGCAGCTGCTCCGGCGCGTATCTCGGCTCTCCAAGTCTACATGGCGTATGGGCAAAGTTATCGGCGATTACGCGCCTCCATTTCAAGGTGCGCTTGTGGACTCTGCCGCTGCTGCAGGAAGCAGCATGCAACTTAGGGGCAGCAAAAACAGCAGCAGCAGGCACCAGCCACACAACGCACAGATCCGTCAGCAGCTTGACACGAATTGCCTTGTTTTCACCGCGCCTTCCGAGCCTGCACTTAAGAGTGGAGGATTTATGGGTTTTTCTTTACGGACGAGGTTGTGTAGGCCTAGGAAAGCAGGCAGAAAAACGCGCAGTTTCCCTACTGTAGCAGTTGTTCGAGGCGACTGCGGTTGCTACTGCTGGTGCTGTTCCTCCTGCGCCGCTGCTGCAGCTGTGAATCTTTGGAAGCCGCACATGGCGCATACATTTTGGCTTTACTGCCTGTTGGATGCGATGGTCTCTAGCAGTGCAACAGCAACAGATGAGGCTGCCAGAGAGGGGGTCTCGAAGACTGCAGAGGTTTCGCTACCGCCTGCGTCGTTGGGAGCCAACGTAGGTGCCTCTGGCCGCCTACCCCGTAAGCTTCTGACTTGTTTTTGAAACTTACTTATAGCTCAGAGAACTGCAAAGAAATATGTACTGGGACTCATGCTTCGAGAGAGCCGCTTGCGTTCTGTGTTTTGTTTGCTGTCTTCTTTTGTAACACAAGCTAGCAACACTGGTTGAGGCAGCTGCTGGAGCTGCTGCTGCGGACGCCTATGGTGTTTGCTTTTGGGCAGTCATTCGCGTGTGGGGAATCCCGACAGACCAAGCCGTTTCAACTCCGTCACACGCTGCATACTTTAGGTGAGTAGCAACAGCGCTTATTGCTCGTGCTGCTGCGGCTGTCCCGTTTGCTGGAAAGTGAAGAACAAATGGTGCTAAATGAAGAAGCGTGAAGTGAAAGCCTACGTGGGTTTTCACAGATGACGCCAAGTAGTACTTTCTGTCGTGACTTCATTACCAGCGGCATGCGGTTAGACCTTCAGACAGCAAACTTTACGCAAGGTGGCTGCTGCCGAATCGCCACAGCAACCGTTACTCATGTCTGTGCCATAAAAGTGAGGACACATTTAAATGCCCATGCCTTGCACGCAGATATGGGTACCTTGTGGCCAGACTGGGAGACCGCTGCTTGGTGCGCTGGGTGCCTCTCGGATCCTTCCTTGCTGCAGTAGAGGAGGACTTGATAGCTTGCGAAAATGCAGCTTCACGTAAGTGCCTTCGGCAGCCGCAGCAGCAGCAGGGCGCCTCTGGGGACCCGCCCAACACTGTGCAGCAGAGGGCCGCGGCAACGGAGCTAAGCACCTGTGGAACTCCGCACAGGGGAGGAACACCAGTGCAGGCTTCAAGTTCCACCAGTGCAACCCCCAAACAGGGCCAGCAGCAGCAGAGGGGCTCCGTGGGCGGACGCATGTCTGCCCGTTTGGCCGGCGTATTAGCGGGGGGTGGGGTCCACGCGGAGTCCCTGACGGGAACATTCGGGGCTTACGATGCATGCATAGAGGCCACGCGAGTGGAGCCAGCAGTGTTCGCCTTTGCTGTTTGGCGGCAGCAGCTGGATTGCCACAGTAAATGCTGTAGGCCTGGACAATGGGTGGAGGTGATTTCCTCGAAGAAAGAAGACAAGCGATTCTTGTACTCAGCAATAGGAATTGTTCAGCAGGTCAGGCAGCATTCAGCGCTTTTCTGTTTGTGCCGAGGGCCTGCAGCTATGGTGCATTCCCTCTGGTGTGCTGATGGAGATTGATTGAAGCTACTCTAGGTGTCCATCCTTGCGACTGAAGGGCATTCATAGACGCATTGCACGCCATGCGCCCCATTTTTGCTTTATGCACGCCCCATTTTTGCTTTATGCACTTCAAATCTGTGTTTGTCTACTTGCAGACGCTGCCAAGCACAGACGGCAGCGTCCTCATGTACCGCGTGGAGTACTTGGGGCTTCCCCCACGTTCCTTCACCCGGCTTACCCTGGGGGTCTCGCCGACTCCCGCCGATGTTGCTGAGGTGCTGCGCAGCACCGTGCGGGTGGCGGTGGTGCCGGCAGAGAGGGTGCGGCCGCTTGCGTTCCTCGCCCCCAACGCGCTGTGGACCCTGGACTCCTTGCGGGAGAGATGGGGAGCTTCCAATTGCGTAGGCTTACCGGAAGCCTACGGAGTTGACCTCAAGTGCCCAGCTTACGGTGAGACCGTGCAGCACAACAAACTCCCGCTGGAGCAGCGGCAGCAGGGACAGCAGGAAAAGACTGAGAGTGCGCTACCTTTTTCTGGTCATGAGAAATGTAAATGTTGATTCCAGATGCGGTTTGCTGTCTCTGCTGCTTTACTCTTAGGTGCGCGAGTCGTGTATGCTGTTCCCGTTGCAAGCCGAGATGCTGACAATTGTGTTAGCAGCGCGAGCAGCAGCAGCGGCAGCAGCAACGCCGCTAGTAGCGGCGGCAGCGTGAACTCTTGTGCGCCGGAAACTGCGTCGGATGCAGCCGCAGCAGCAGGCGCTCGGTGGCATATCCAGCTGAACTGCCAGCACCTCGAGTTCGCTGCTAAACAGTTGCTGCACCCTCGCCAGCTGTTTTATCGTTTTGGCTTAGAAGGCGACGTATCTCTAGGGGGCACCGCCGACCAATTCGGACCACTTGGGGTCACAGAAATACCGCCTCCCCTTTCTCCCCGAGTCCCAGCCAGAGCTAGCGGGGCCCCCTCTTCGCCTGTGCCGGCGGACAGGGCGGAGAACGGCAGCGCCACCGTGTGTTGGGGAGGGGCTACCTCCCCCGAGGCTGCGAGCCGAGGGGCAGGTGCATCTAATGAGTCATGTGATCGTACGGCCTCGTTGCGTACATCATTAACACCAGGGGGTTCCACCACCCCAGCTGGGTTGGCCTCCCCGCGGGCTCGCAAGCGGCTGTGGAATGTCTTTGCAGAACCGGGGCACTCGGGAGCCCAGCAACAGCAGCCTGAGGGACAAGGAATGAACCAAGCGCCCAGAAAAAAACAGCAGAAGCCCACTATTACTGCACAGAAAGCTCCGGAGGTGGCCCAGTGTGGGCCAGGTGCGGATCCGCAACTCAAGCCTGCTGCGAAGCGGACACCTCAGGATTCGTCCGTAGTGGTGGAGTTGTCAGATGAGGATGCTCCTGCGAGGAAGGAGCAGCAGCAGCACATCGAGAAGCCAAGGGAACAAACACCCGAGGAGACCAGGGAGTTTGAGAAGACGACAGCAAGCCGACTGGAGCTTGCTTGCACATCCCCACTTCTCGATGCACCTGAAAAGAATCTGGTAGATGGCAATTTAGACACTGCAATGTGGCACACAGTGCGCACCTGCGTCCGCTGCCGAATGCCAATGCCACCGAGTCAGGCTCCCGCAACTGCTGCAGCAGCAGCAGGCGGGGCTGCTGCAAGCGGAGAGTCGGCACCTGCTGCTGCATGTGGGCCTCCAGCTGAGGGAGCAGCCTCTGCTGTAGCTGAAGGCCCTCCTGGGGGAGGACAAAGGGCCCCACCTTGGGTGGAGGGGGTTCCCTCGGCGGCAGGTGTACTCAGGCGGTTTCGAGCCTACGTGAGGCGGATCAAGGCGGAAACTTGTTTGAGGGAGATGAAGAGACTTAATAGACTTCTTGAGGATCTCCAGCTCCCTCTTCCAGCAATTCAAGGCGCAGAAGGTAGCTGCACAGACCAGGACAGCAACAGTAGCGGCAGCGTGAGCAGCAGTGGCGCCCCAGCGAATGGCAGCAGCAGCAGTATCAGCCGGCACCAGAAGAGCGGAGGAAAACTACGGAGCGATCGAGACCAAGAGGCCTTTGAACGATGCGTGCAAGTCGTTGGGGGTGTAGCCTCTCCAGCAGTCTCCGCGGGGAGGCAGCAGAGCAACTCGTGCAATATTGGGAGCAGCAACGGCAGCAGTATCAGCAGCAACAGTTCAGAGCATGAGCTGCCATCAGACGCTGCATGCACGTATGCTTCTTGTACTGTCTCAAGAAGTGAATGGACCGATCCAGGAAATGATCAGTGGTCCGCCACCGCAAGCGACTGCTGCTGTACTTGCAGGGAGTGCGCTTGCTGTTGCCAGCGGATTCGCTTCACCAGCGCCGAGTATCACACGCCGCAAGGCCCCCCTGAGTGTGAGAACGGCACGCCTGCCGATGCTGCGGCTCCCTATACTCCAGCTTCCCCGGAGCAGCAGCAAGAGCTGAGTCCCGAGGAGTGGGAGGTGGTCACGCGGGCCATGGGCATTCTGCTGCGACGGGGCGTCATAGGGGTGGTGGCCCATGAAAGAACTTCATCGGCGCTGCGGGTGCGGCTGCTGCCATTGCCGCGCTTACCTATTGAAAAGCCGGCTACGGGGCCCACGGTTGCTGGGGCCCCCTTTGTTACAACTACTGCGCTGCCTGCTGATTCTCTAGATGAAGAGGAGGAACTGCAGGAGCTGCGGCGAGTGCTAGAGCAGCGTCGAGAGCCCCCCTATTGGGGCATTGACAAAGTTAGGTCAGAAGGAGCTCGTGGCGGTGATGTCTTGGCCCGCGAGGGTGAGTCCCTGCTGGGCGAGGGGGAAGAAGACATACTGTGCCACAGATGTCTGGAAGAAGGCTGGGTGTCAGAGTTCTCACTGCCGCGGTTGTTAGACAGGTATCGCTCGGCATGCACGGACACGACGTGCAACGCCCCGTCCTGCGGGAGCGCCAGCGGCCGTTGCGGCTGCCGCAGCGCTGCGAGAAAGCGGAGGCCCACTGCATCCAAGCCTCAGGTGTTTGGCTGGAGCCGCAACAGCACCTTCCACGGTATTGCTGCGTCGGCTGAAGCGTGCAACATAAGCCAGCAGGACGCTGAGCTAACATACAGCGAGTATGCGTGCATGCAGCTCGAGAGCCTGCACTAAGCCCAGTGACAGACCCTCTGAAAACGCGCATCTCGGGGCTAGGTACAGCGGCCTTGTGTCTTGTTTCTCTATTCGGGTCTGTCACTGCGGTGGCCTTGCTGACTTGAGGGGCGGGGTGCGTGGCTTCGATCTGTATCCGTAGTGCTCTTTTTTTCTTGGGCGTTCCTTCCTTGGCCCGGCTTTGTCTGAGGCCAGGGAGAAGTTGAATTGAGGTAACCAAAGTATGTGGCAACTGCCACGCAGCGGTATTATTGTGAAGCCTTGAGGGAAAGAAATACAGCAAAGCCTATTTGATGTACGAGGGGTTCAGCCACTCGGTACTCTCATATTGAGTCTGTGAATGTTGTGCTGGCGGCGTAGAGGCGTCGACTTGAAAGTGTCCCGAGTCAACCGCTTTAGAAGGAATCCGTCCACTTGTGAACACTGCTAAGATTGAATTGATGTTGATCCGCCTTGATCCCTAGGGCTTTCTACTTGCAGTACAGAGCTGAGGCAAAACTGCTGAATTGGGTGTATCTCTTCTGTATTCGAGCAAAGGCCCACTCACAAAAAGTACGCCTGCGGAACGGCCAATCTTTTTTTCTGCTAACAGCCAGTAGCTTCCCGTGAGAGATCAAGTGATAACAATGCAGATATGTGTGCAAGCGAAATATACGATAGATGTTAGAATTGATGAGGGCCACACGAACGAGATGCCACCATAAAAGTGCGCGCCGCATGGGCTAACTCTTGATAGCGAATTCTGCATACCAGGAAATATGTTTTTCACCCTTTGTCCGCACCCTGGAACTGCTTGAAACGCGTAGTTATTGGCTGAGCTTTAATGCAGCTGGCTAATCAATGGGTAGAGACGATGAAACACGAAACAGCATGTGGCTGAAGTGCTAAGGAGTGACTACATGGCGGCGCAACGAACCCACACTGTTTCCTTATCTGATGTAGCGGAACCGCATTGCTTTTCAAATGTTGGAGAGCGTCGGCGAATGAGTTGCTGCTTGTGACGTCTTTTGCTCTCCGTTGCTCTTGGCTTACCTCCATGTGTCACTATCCGCTGATATTTCGCGCTCGATTGCCTCACGGGAGAAAATTGTTGTGGAAAGCAATACACAGGAGTTGCTTCTAGTCATTTTTCCTGGCTGCTCGGGAAAAAAACACCTCGACAAGAGAGCATATAAAACGGACTACAGAGAATCAGGAGTTTCATTGTTGAGCAGGTTGGTGGTCAGTATTCTAACGTTTCTTCAAGCTTTAGTAACTGCCACGATCCTATGGATATGCCTAAAATTGTAATCAGGTTAATATGTTGGTACAATCCTGGAAACACGACGGCTGCTTTGGGGATAAAAGTTGTGTGGCATCAGTAGAAGTGAAAACACGGCGTTCTATGTGTTCCTCGGCAGAAGGGCTCTACGCAGTGGCGAGCCCCAAGCCGTGACGCGTAGCCCCAAGGGAGGACCTACGTCTAGTCTTCCCTACGGCAGGGCTGCTGCAATGTAGGGGAATGCCACGGCGAGCAGTGTTCTCAGTTGCCTTTGACTGTTGAAAAAGAGCTGAACGCCCCATCATGTTCCATAATTGAGGTGTAATCTATTACTCTGCAGTGCTGAGGAGTTTAAAGTTTGTCCTTAAGGTCAGTTTTGAGTGGTTCCTTAATTTTCCTGACACTCAAGTTTGTATTTGGTGCTATATGAGTTTTCATGTGTTACTGTTAGGGGGCTTTGCATAATCATCGTGGAATACTACACAAACTGTACTCTTTTGCATTCCACTTTAGGAAAGCGGCTGTGTAGTGAAGACATACTTGAGTTTGAGCTTTGCATTTCACAGTTCGTATCCAACGTACAGCTCTTTCCCTTTCGCAGCTCAGGCCGTGTCCGTTCCACAATGGAACTTCATTTACAAGTAAATAACATTCCACAATACATATCTAGAGGCTTTCACAACTTTATTGTTGTGTAACTTCTAAGAAAGAGTACTGACCGACCCGCCACACTGAAACAGCGGTCGCTGCTACCCGCTGGAATCATTTCACCTGCTGATCGAACGGGATCAGCTTTGCAGATTTATTTGGTAATGTAGAAGTACACTTCAATGTGTATATTTAATTTGTTGTAGAGCGCAATAAGCCGCTCTCCTGCGTCGTGAGTTCACAGAGAAACTCGCGGCGACAGCCCGAAACTGCGACAGATGAATAGCTTCAGCAGTTCCTATAGGGACCTCTGCAAGGCAAAATAAATGAGATTAATACTTAAACCTTTTATTGTACTTGTCAAATTCTGTACGACGAACATTGCTGTGGGGCTCCCCGCCTCCCGCGACAGCTCCAGCCGACCCTGTGCAAGTCTGCGGCTGCAACACAACACACATGCGATCTCGCGTGTCCGAGGAAGGTATGCGTATTTTGAGCATGCCGAGAACAATAGGCTGCTGACTTCAATTGACTCGAGGAAAGAGCTTTGCTCGGTGGCTTCCCTCCCGTCTACGGCGGGTCTGGGCCCACTGATCAGCAACAGGCTCAGCATTTGGTCCTGCTCGCGCCCAGCTCGTACCACGGATCCTCTCCATATATTGAGCACGATTACGGCCTGCAGCGGCTCTGAGCCGCCGACATTGCTGGCTGCTGCCGCTGTCGTTCCATCGGCAGCTGCAGCAGCCTCAGCTGTGTACCACGCATGCGCCGTGTCAGTCTTCCACGAACCGTGTATCCAGACGCAGCGTCTTAGTCCCCAGGTGGCCTTCTGTGCTGATAGCGCTGTCCAATTCTCGGCGATCCGGGGCCACACGGGAGTTTCGTTGCAGAACAGCCACAGCAGGCTGCCCGAGATGTCTTGTCATTTTCCTGCTTTCAGTAGCCACAGACACAAGCTGCTGCACCTTCGTTGCTTGGCTACATGCTGGTGACATGCAGCACTTCTGAGCAGTATACTGGGCACTGCAGAGAATATGTTGGCGGCTTGTACAGGGCGCTCGACTCGCGCGTGAACAACCAGTAGCGACACAGAAGCAGGAAACGCGCACCATTTACTCCTAAACGTGAAGCCCCGAATCACTGCTCGCCTCAAGATGCAGGAAAAAGAGCAAGAGAAGCTTCTGGAGGAGGCCTCAACGGTGGTTCGGGAGCAGGGCTGTTACATGAAGCGCGCCATAGTGAGACTGGCTTCACTGCCGGATTTTTTGAGCTTTCTTACGCATGTGAAGCAGAAGGATAACTTTGCAAAAATGTTTTAATCGGAAGTTAAGGCATTGAGGGACTTTGCCGTTTTGCAGGACAGCGACAACCTGCGCGACGCCTTAAAACATGCTTCCAACTTCGTCAGTGAACTGCGCACCTCTCTTTTGTCACCAAAGCATTACTACGAGCTGTGTAAGTCTAGAACAGCAGTAGTAAAGTTCAGCCCCACTACTTGTTCGGCTGCTTGCACATTGTACAATTCCTGCGGCCCTTACCTTCGAGCCCATTTGCGGCAAGTTGTGTGTACGGCCCGAAGCACTAAGCTGGAGCTCTGTGTGTATCAGGCTGGTAACTATGTAGTGATGTAGTGCCAGTAGTTATGTACATTCATGCACAACACGAAGCCACGCGTGCACACAAGCAGTAATTTGTCTGTGCGTCTTAGCCTGTTCTCTATGAATACACGTAAATCGAATTTTTTTTGCATGTTTATATTTGTACTAGCATGTGTTCTGCGTCCTAGCTCTCTGTGCGCATTTGCGTGTATGGGCGCCGCAGACATGCTAGTGTTTCAAGAGCTGCAGCACCTGCTTGCCTTTTTTTCGGACAAGTCCCGCCATGGCCGCCGCCTGGCAGATCTGTATGAGACGGTTCAGCACGCGGGGAATATTGTTCCTCGTTTGTACTTATTAGTGACAGTTGGTGTTGCTTTTATAAAGTCTAAGGAAGCACCAGCAGCAGATATTCTAAGGGATCTTACGGAACTCTGCAAAGGTGTTCAGCATCCTATGCGGGGTCTCTTTCTCCGCTTTTACCTCACCCAACTCTGCAGAAATGTATTGCCAGACAAGGGCTCGGAGTATGAACAGTAAGCCGCAACTCTGTGTTACGGCAAGCACAGATGCGCTGTAAATGGTGCATTCGTATCTTTGGTTGTTTTGCACGTACGGTTTTTGCCATGAAATCATTCAGTGAGCTGCTAAGATGCTGAACAAATAGTTACTGTAGCCGCAACTGCTATAGCTTTTAGGTACACGCGACGCTTGCGTGTTGAACCTGTGTCAACATGAATTGCAGAGAGGGCGGCTCGGGCGCGGAAGATGCCTTTTTGTTTTTGCTGACGAACTTCAACGAGAGCGCCCGTCTGTGGGTGCGACTGCAGCAGCAGAGCAGCGTCAGAGACCGTGCAAAGAGAGAAAACGAAAGGCAAGATCTAAGAGTGCTTGTTGGTTCAGCTCTGGTCCGTATGGCCCAACTTGAAGGCATGACGGTCGAGTTCTACAAGACGCAGGCACTACCAGCCATTCTGCAGCAGGTCTGCAGCCTCTACAGATCAATTATCCTCAAGCCATTGCAAAAAGCTGCGATAGATATTCCAACAACTGCGACACCGGTTGACCTGCTTGGCGATCTACAGCATACCGCAATTGTAGCAACTGCGGGACACCAGTTGCGGCCTGCGGAGAAGTGTTTTGAGCCTCCTGCGCTGTGTAAAAGGGAAACAGTTTGCTGTCCTTCTGTGCTGGCGTGCAGATAATGGCTTGCAAGGACACCCTGGCGCAGCAGTACCTGCTCGACTGCGTTGTGCAGGTGTTTTCAGATGAGTGTCATTTGCAGACTTTGGATCAGCTGCTGGCCCAAACTGCGAATGTACAAAAAGGAGGTACGCTTGGGCCGGTGCTAAATAAATCTCTACTGCTGCCCTTTTGCTTATCCTACTACCGCTGTACTGCTGGATACTGCAGCGTATGCCACCATGTGTTGTGCTGCCTCGGCTGCTGCAGTGGCGCTGAAGCCTGTTTTGGTGAACTTGCTCAGAAGGCTTACCAGCTTTCTTCAGGCAGATCCAGAGGTGGGTTTTTCCTCGTTAGGGATTGTCGTTTTATCGTTTTTTTGCTTCATTCTTTGTTTTGTTATCGTACTGCAGCCTTCCGTAGTGAGCTTGAAGCCGACCTAACATGCGCGTATGCCTCATCTTGCTTCTTTTCCTGGGATTTTGTTGTCACAGGCTCTGCCTCAGGACATATCCGTATTTGATCTGTTTCGGAACTTCATCGAATCGCAGGTCGACTCTGCCATTCTCACTTACTCAGGTGGCGGTGGCACGCCTTCGGACTCGCCCACGGGAGGCAAGCTGCACTTGGAAGAACAGAAGGATTGCGTTGTTGAACTGACAACCTAGAGCCTAAACGTTCGAATTTTGAAGTGATGAAACGGAAAATGGGGTTGCGTTTGCTGTTGCAGGCTCAATGGACTTGCCCAGCTTGCTGGCGCTGCAAGTGGCATTCTTGAACTTCTGTCTCACGCTTTTCCCCTCCCGCATCGATTACGTGTCTCAAATACTTGACAGCGCTCACCGCCTCCTCGCGGCAACCTCTCAGCGCCCGTCTGCTGCCCCGCTGACAGCTGCTGCAGGAATTGCTGGGGGGAGGTCACCCCCAAGCCTGGCGAAGCTGCACAGCCCAGGAGGCGTGACCCTGAGCCCTACAGGACTCGACGGAAGCTATGCAGCCTCTGCGTCTGCCCGAACGGACACTAGCAACAAGCACTTGAAGCCGTTGCCCGAGGCGGGCATGGAGGCGCTGATGGAGCTGCTGGCGGCACCGCTGCGTGTCTTGTCACTGCAAGTTCTGAACATCGAGAGTTATGCCCCCTTAATGGACTTCCTGGATAATTCCACTAGAAATAGTGGTGAGTTGCAGCTGCGAAGATTCATCTTTGCTTGCTTTACAAGGCTTCTGCAGACACTCCTTGCTTGATGTATTAATGCGAGGAATGTTGTCGCCCATAACGCTTGTCGTATTTGCCTTTTGCTTGCTGCTTTTTTGCAACCGGCTAATTGCTTCTGTGCTGTTCCGGTGCAGTGGCGAGCACTATGGTTTCTGCGGTGGTGGCCGCCGGCACTCCGCTGTCTTCTGCGGAATCTCTGGGTCGTTTCCTGAGTCTGGTTTCTCCGTTGTTACGGGATGAGGGTTCAGAAAAAAGACTAGATGACGAAAGCGCAGCGCTGGAGGAGCCAGTAGCGATAGCAACAGAAGCTGCACAGCAGCTGCAGCAGCTCGCAATGCTTGTGCATCTCGCCAAGGCAGAAGACACTGATGATCACTTCAGTCTGCTTCTTGTCGCAAAAAGCAAATTCTCAGAAGGTGAGATGAAGGCGATATTTCGCAGCTGCTGCCGCTGCAACGTAAGCGCAAGAGAAACAGCAGCAACAGCAGCAGCTGCAGCGGCAGTTGCTCCGCTCCTTCACAGCTATGCTGTTTGGCCGCACGCATCTTTTTCCCTGGCCTGGTCGCTTCGTTCTTCTCTACGCTACGAAATACTTTAACGGATGGCTGATAAGAGACTCTAAGGCGCAGAGTTGAATAACATACAAGCCAATCCTGACGTTTTCTTTGGGCACTCTTTAGAAGTTGAAGATTGAACTACGTGCCCAATCTGATGAGGTTGCAGCAACATACGACCACCTGCAACTCTACAGCCTTGAGCAATAGATCGTAGAAGAGGTGCATGCATGTGCATGCACGGTTTGTGCAAAATCGGCCTGTTTCTTTTTGTGCAGGGGGTCCCAATTGCCTGCGTGTGTTGTTGCCGCCTTTGGTTATTTCTGCGTGCCGGCTGCTGCCGTCTGTTATCGAGAGGCAGCAGCGGGCAGAACAAAGAATTCAAGATGTCACTCCGCCAGCGCATGGAGGAAAGAAGATTTGCCAGTTCATGCATTCGACCTGCCTGGAGCTCGTTCAGATTGACGCGGAGGTGCGTATGAATGAGAGACTTAAGTCTGCATTCAGGTTTTTACATCTTGCTAAGATTATTCTTATATTGTTGTTCCATGTTAATTTAAGGCAATGCTTGTACGTTGCTTCTACCTACACTTGACCTACAGCTGGTTCAGTTCGAGGCGCCGGCGAGTAATTGACACCGGCGACTAACTTAAAAAGTAGGAGCTTGACTTTGTGGATTATTGCAATCATTCAAGAGGCATACTTAAAGAATAGGAGCTTGACTTTGTGGATTATAGCAATCACTCAAGAGGCACTCTTGTTTACATGCGGATAAACGCCAAAATCACTTGCCCCTGCGCTGAACTTGTGGATTCCTGAGCGGATTAGAGCGTGGTACTGCTCTGCTTTTGCAGTTATACATATGAAACATACTTGCACGTGTTCACATACGAATATATATCCATTTGCGTGTGTACTCATACGTATATATACATATCTCCATGTGTATTCATGAATAGGTACGTATACTGCGTATATATACATGTATACATGCTTAAATCGATCAGGGAGCAGCTTCTAATCGTTTTCATCTCTTGTGCTATCTCAGATGGCCCTGAGGCTGTGGCTGGTGGCCGCCATGGCTGCGGATAATGCGAACGTAGCTGTGGGCGGCTACGAGGCGATCTGCCACGAGTTCATAAGCCAGGCTTTGGTTTGTTTCGAGGAGGAGATCACTGAAAGCAAGAGGCAGTTCGCAGCACTGAGCGAAGTACGCAAGAAAATCATCGATTTAAAACACTAAACCCTTTGCCTGCATCCGTGGGTTGCCTGCTCATGCAGTAACAAATGAAGACAGAGAGTTCAGTTGAGCAGTGCAGGGTGTGAGCGCGTGATCGAGGGGGTGCAAGCTGGAGTGTATAGGCACTTCAAGGAAGCGGATTCCGGCATCCTGTGTGCTATGCAGATGGTGGGATGTATGTCGGGCTTCATCCGGGGACTTGATAGGGAAAACTACGACTCAATTGCCTCGAGAGTGACCCAGCACGGAGCGAAGCTCCTCAAGAAGCCGGACCAGTGCAGGGCTGTTTTGTCTTGTTCGCATTTGTACTGGAACGCGGTAAGTTTCAGTCATTGTCGGCGGAATCCAGATAAATTAGCATCCATTAATTTGCGCAAGATGTCATTTTCCGAGGCCACAGACAACGGAAACAGATAAAGGGATGCCAGGCGTTGGGCGTAACGTAGAGGGGCTTCCATTTGTGGCCTTTCTTAAGACGTTACTTTGAAATACCCACCTGTTTGACGAAACCGGAACACCTAATGACTCAGGGCTAGAAATTCAGGAACTAGGGTTTAGGGTTTAGGGTTGAGGGTTTGTTCTACCCTATCGCAGGCGGAGTACCGTGACAGCCGGAGGGTTCTGGAGTGTCTGCAGAAGTGCCTGAAGATAGCAGATGTTTGCGTGCAAGCGAGCACATCACATGTATCTCTTTTTATTGAAATCCTGGACAAATATGTTTATTACTTCGATCAAAACAACCCTGAAGTAAGCAAGAATACCAACTGCGGCTATTATAATTGAACCCAGCAAATCCAGATTCAGGTTCATCGTCTTCTTCAAACACCACCTAGAAAGCGGAAACTCATCCATTTGTAGGAAATGAGGCTTACGTGTTTCAGCCTGTCAGTGTTTTTTACGCAACATCGCCGCCTAGTGCCGCAGCAAGTGCGGCGGCAGAAGTTTATGTTTTTGTTGCGCTTAATCTTCATTACTGCCTTTTTGTTTCATTATTATACTTGTTATCGTTTTCCTTGTTATCATGGCTCCCTTTGTTGTTGTTTTCATTCTTACTGCTGTTATGGTGTCTTGCTGCTGCTTCAGGTCACTGTGGACTTCATTCAAAATTTGGTCGCGCTCTGCGCAGAGCACTGCAGGTTCGCGGAGCTGGGTGAGTCAAGATTTAGGGTTTAGATCTAAGACTTAGGGTTTAGAATTTAGGGCTAAAGTTTAGGGTTTAGGGTTTAGGTTTTAGCGGATAGGGTGTAGATAATTAGGTCTGAGTAAGCCAATTGGGTGTTTGCGTTGTGCACGCGCAGCGGCGTTGTGGCGCTGCCTGTTTTTGCAAGTTCATTCACGATTTCCCGATTTTTGTTTTTAGCATCGTTTCGTTTGTTTTTATTTTTGTTTTGAATTCTTTTCAGACAAAGATTGCAGCGTTATGAACAACTTTAGAAACACTCTCCAGCACTTGCGCAGGAAGAAGCAAGCGGATGGCAGCGGCAAGTACCGCGGTGGGTGGCACCACCTGAAACAGAGAAACGCCTCCAGTTGGCAATATATTTATATTTTCATTTGTATATTTTCTGGATTAATGCGTCTTTGTGTTGGTATGTATGCATGGGCATTCCTGGAAGCGGGAAAACGTCTTATGAATGTGCAGTTTCGCATTCATGTGCAGTTGTTTGGGGAGTTGCACTTGATGTGCAGATGTGTAGATAAGCACTTAGCATTAATTCAGACTCTGCACAGGAAGCATGTAATTGCATGCATGCAGTATTCACGTGTTGTATTAAATGTGCTAGTGCGGTGCTGGTGCTTCCACTGATATATATACACTTTATATATATATATAATATATATAATATATATATATATACATATATATATATATATGTATATATATATATTATATATCTATGCCCATGCACCCTATATATATATATGGACACTGTTTGTTAATGTATTCATAATGTGTAGCTTATGCACACATCTTTAGAGGTCTTTTTAGGGTTGAGGGTTTGGAGTGTACCTGGAGCTGCCTGCGTTGCATTTGCATTTAGGCCTAGACCTTTCCATTGAAATATAAAGATGAACCACGGCTCGAAGAAAGGCGGCGGCCCCCGCGCCCATTGCCAGACCCCAAACCCTAGAACGTAGACTTTAAACCCTAAACGAAACCCTAAGCCCTAAACCACTCGATGGCGTGACCTCTCCCAGCGCCCGTTGCTGCTGCTGCAGCACGAGACCTGCTGCAGCGTCAGCTGCTTTTCTGTTGAGGTTTCTACGGCCTGTGGGGCTCTGATTTTTGGGTGCCTCTGCATAATTCTAGCTTGAACTGAATACATGAAGCTACTTGATCTAGAGCGAAGTTGCGAGTGAATTGCCTGAATGCCCGCAGCTGCGAGCTGCCCAGGCGGGTCGCAGAACTGGCCTGGGGCTGCTTCCGACCAAACCCCAAACCCTAAACCCTAAACCCTAAACCCTAGACCGCACAGCGCGAGTTTTTCCGAGTTCCGCAGTCGCAGCGACTTGCGGGGCCGCTCTGCGCCTCGCAGCTAACTCGATGCACTTTAGGCCGCTAGTGGAGTTGACAGTATTAAAGGAAAAGGCAAATAAAATGTTATTGTGAAGGAAAAGGCGAATAAAATGTTATTTTGAAGGAAAAGGCAAATAAAATGTTATTGTGCCTGCCTGGCTGGCACCGGGCGAACAGAAAGAAGTGCAAATGAGTGGAAGTTGAGAATTGCTTTGGGCCAGCGCGCGTTGGCGGCGCGGCGCGCGAGCGAGGGCGCCCCCCAAACCCTAAACCCTAAACCCTAAACCCTAAACCCTCGACCGGGGCGTTCAGACCTCTTTGAGGGAAATTCTGGGGCAGACGTTCATGCTCATGAGTTCCTGGAAGAGCAACTTGCAGGCGTAGGGAATCTGCACAGTGGCTGCGTCGGCGGAACTCTTGCACATGTTGCACCAGCCGTTGGAGCCAATGAGCCCGCAGCGCGTGCAGACTGTGGCCTCGAAGGCGTCGCTGGACAAGACCAGCCTCTCCACCAACAAGGCAGAGGCCCCGTAAGCCACGAGACAGTCTCTTTCCATTTCGCCGAGTCGGAGGCCCCCGTCTTTGGCGCGGCCTTCGGTGGGCTGGCGCGTGAGCAGCTGGCGGGGGCCCCTGCCGCGGGCGTGGATCTTGTCCTGGACCATGTGTTTGAGTTTTTGGTAGTAGATGGGCCCGCAGAAGACGTAGGCCTGCAGGGGGCCCCCCGTGAACCCGCAGGTGAGGTACTGCTTGCCGGAGTAGTGGAGGCCCCCCGCGAGCAGCGCCCGGGCCAGCTCCGCCGCGGGGGCCCCCCCAAAGGCTGTGCCGTACTGCAGCTGCCCCGAGAGCAGCGCAGTCTTGCCCGCAAGCAGCTCCAGCAGCTTCCCCACAGTCATCCGCGAGGGGAAGCCGTGCGGATTCATCACCAAGTCCGGAGTCCAGCCGTCCTCCGCAAACGGCAAGTCCTCCGGAGGCACTATCAACCCCACCACCCCCTTCTGGCCGTGCCGCGAGGAGAACTTGTCCCCCAGTTCGGGCAGCCGGGTCTGCCGCAGCATCAGCTTCGCCAGTCTGCTGCCTTCTGCGCTTTCCGTCAGCAGCACGCGGTCCACGTAGGCGGCCACGGGCGTTTTGTACTTCACCGGAGAAGGGCTGTAGTCGCTGCGCTGCAGCCGCAGCGGGTCTGCAACAGCAGCTTTCGTGTTGGTCGGCGAAAACTTGTTCACCAACACCATGTCTTGTTCCACCAGTTCCCCCACTTCCGCCAGCCCGTCTTCCCCCACGGCGGCGAACCGCTTGCTGGCCAGCCCCCGGCCCGCGCCCCGGGGGCCCCCCCGCTCCCCGGGGGGCCCCCCGCCGGCGGGGGCCCCCCCCCGGCTGCCCTCCGCCGCCGAGGGCGGCGGGAAGGCGCGGTCCGACGCCCCGTTGTAGTACTGCTTGAAGTCCACTGTGTGCTTTCTTATTGCGAAGCACCTCCCGAAGCCCCGGTCCACAGACCCCCGGTTCAAAACTATTGCGTCTTCTATGTCGTAGCCGCTGTAACTCATCACTGCCACACTCGCGTTTTGGCCTGCGCAAACAAACTCCAAAAAACTCCCAAACTCACAAGCGCCCTGTCCATACACCCCAGGGCTCCTCCCCGGCTCCGCTCGCGCTGCAGAAAGCCCGCACTGTACAGACACTGTACACTGTACAGACACCTGACGCCTGAACTGAACGCCGCGGCTGCGGCCTGCGCAGCAGACACTTGCGAGTTTCTCGAGCACGAAACACTTTATTTAGTCCATTTGCAACTTCCTTTGCACCATTCACACTCACGCACGCGAACGCATGCACCCAGACACAAGAGCAGCAGCAGCAGCACAGCAGCGCAGCAGCAGCAGCGCAGCAGCGCAGCAGCAGCAGCACAGCAGCAGCAGCAGCAGCAGCAGCAGCGCAGCAGCGCAGCAGCAGCAGCACCTGCGGGGAGCTGGCTGAAGTTGATGAAGTCGAGGGTGCGGGACTTGCAGAGGGGCTGTTGGGGGTAGACGAGGAGGTAAAGGAGAGTGTCGCATCTGTTGAACTGGTTGAAAGCAATTGCGCCCAAGGCCTGTTTGCCCATGGCGCACTGGTAAGTGTTTCTGGGGCTTTGGTTGTGGTTTGGGTAGGGAATGAGTCCCGCAACAACTCCCAAAATGGCCAGAGGGTCTATTTCTAAATGCGTAGTTTCGGGGCCAATGCTGTCTTCGTCGAGAGCAATAAGAAGGTCATTTTCCTCGTTTACGTCCACCCACTCGAGGACGCTGCGGCGCAGCAAGTCCCCGAAAGCCAGCTCCCCGCGCTGCAGCTGCTGCAGCTGCTGCTGCTGCAGCAGCGGCTGCCCCCCCTCCACCAGAATGAGCGGCCGCGAGAGGCGGCCGCCGTCGGTGGCCACGTAGATGGCGCGGTGCGCGGCGCTGCGGTGTACAGACAGGAAGGGCCCCAGGAGGCCCCTGCGGCGCAGCAGCCGCACTGCAGCAAGCAGCTGCTGCGGCCTGCGGTGCAGCCCCAAGAGGGCCCCGTTGAGAAAGACCAAGTGCCCCCCCTCTGCTGCTGCTGCTGCTGCTGCTGCATGCAGCTCCTGGGGCCCCAGCGAGGGGGCCTCCTCCACGCCCAGCGCGAAGAGGGCCCGCAGCGCGGGGCCCTCCGGCGCGTCCGTAGTCACATGAGTCAACAACGCCAAATTTTTCACAAGTCCGCAACTCTCCCCCTCGGGAGTGTCGCAGGGGCACAAGACCCCCCACTGGGAGGGCTGGAGCGCGCGGGGCCCCGAGACTTTGCGGCCTTTTTCGAACTGCGAGTTCAGTCTTGTCATCATTCCGAGAGTGGCGATGTAAGAAAGTCTCGAGAGGATTTGCGCCACTCCCGAGCGCTCCATGCGGAACCTCTTGATGCTCCAGTTGCCGGTGCTGAGTGCCGTTTGGAGGCCTCGCGTGATGATGTCAGTGGGGAGGTTTCGCGTGCAGTCGGGGTAGGCCAGCGCCTCCCTGCTTCTGCTGCTGCTGCTGCTGCTGCTGCTGCTGCTGCTGCGGGTTTGGTGGAAGCGCGTCAGCGCGAAGTCGATTTGCTTCTTCGTCTGCGCGCAAAACCTCTTGAACAAATCTTCGAATAAAAGCCCCAACATCTGCCCCGCCAGCTCCAGTCTTTTGTTGCCATAGTAGTCTTTGTCGTCCAGCAGCTGCGGCGCTGCTGCTGCTGCTAAGCAGCGCCGCGCCATCAGCGTCAGCAGCAGCAGCTTCGCCTCGAAGTTGTTCCCGCTGCTCGCCAGGTGCGGCAGCAGCACGCGGTGCAGCGCCTCCACCGCCTCCTCCGCGCTGCTCCTGCTGCTGCTGCTGCTGCTGCTGCTGCGGCTCTCCCGCTCCCGCGCAGAAGCAAAAAAGCCCCGCCCGTAAGTCCGCAGCCGCAGCCGCGACCCCACCCACACCAGCGCCTGCTGCTGCGTCAAAGCCCCCTCCGTGTGGCAGTCCTGCAGCGACAGCGACACCGGCTCTGCTGCAGCAGCAGCGCAGCAGCCCTCCTTCCCAGCAGCAGCAGCAGCAGCAGCAGGAGACCCTATTAGCTGCGCTATTTCCTGGTCATTCTCCACCCCCATGGCCCGCAGCAAAATGCACAGCGGCAAGTCGTCAGTGAAGGAGTTGTGCCGTACGTACAGCCGGCCCCCCTTCAACACCACCGCCGTCCGGCTCTTCGCCTCCGCCGTCGCAGACGTCACCGTCGCGCACACGTTCCGCTTCATGTCCAGCTGCAGCAGCAGCAGCAGCAGCAGCAGCAGCAGCAAAAGCAGCAGCAAAAGCAGCAGCAGCGGAAGCGAATGAATTTGCTGTGTTTGTATGTCCTTATATGAATATAATAGTGTATTTATATCTTTATATATATATATAAATATATTGTAGGAAATCTGTGCATATTATATGTACATGTATATCCTATACGAGCGTACGCATTTACAGGTGCTGCTGCAGTCCTAGGTGAAATTATAGCAACATTACATTATTTTATTTGCAAATATATTTAGATTCTGCATAATTAAATGTGTTGCATAAATAGGCAGGCGAACATGCGAAGAAAGCTTTGCATGCAGATGTTGAGCTTTCGGTGCATGCGTTCAGCTGTACGTACACTGGAAGGCACTCTAGTTTACGGTGCGACTTCTCTCAGATTCCA